ATGTAACTACCCTGTATAAATAGCTTCCTTTTGTGGAACATCCTTAAATTCCTTCTGCACTCATTGAATCCCGAACAGGGGTGTGTAATAGACTCTAAAGGATCTAACATTACACGGCTTGCACATTTCTAACACAAATATGTGTGCAATTTAAATAAAAGTGTGTGTGTGGCAGAGTAAAGCCAAATGCGTGAAAGTCTCCATGTGCAAGCGTACATGTTTCTCCATCATTCTGTGTGCGTACCAGCCTTCACATGTCTTGTTGACATAATACAGCTCTTTTAAGTTGGCAAAAATACAGCATCCACACTAGCACAGTTGGGACCTTCATAGACTAGCCTCTGCTTGGAGGCTTCAGGTAAAATCAGACTAATAACCCAGACTAACCAAAAAGGCAATTGGTAAGCTTGACTAACCTCTCCTGAAGCATGATGACAAAGCAAATTTCTTAAACTTCTTTCACTTTTCCAGACATTGATCCCTTCACTAGTGACCTAAACAGCAGCCAAGCCTACTCTCTTTCTTCACTGAAGAATATATAATTCAGCTGATTCACTTTATCAAGCCAGAACTCTTCTGGAGAGCTTGTGTTAGAGGCTGTGCCTAACTCCCCAGAGAGAATCTAACAGTAGCGTCCAGTTTCAAGGCTGACTCTGTCTTTAAGGCGTCGATGACAGGAAGATTAAAAGGAACAATCCATAAGCATAGGGGGAAGGCAGCGGAGAAGATAATCACTTCTTGGGCAGTTATGTAGATTCTGGGGACATATAGGGTTTAAGATGGGCAAAATCAACCTGTGATTGGGACTAGATGTGAGTCTGAACCTGAACAATATATTAATTAATCATTGTTTGTGGAGATTTTAACAGGGCTTCTTTCCCACGGCCACTCCGTGTATGCAACTGATTTGTGCACTTTTCTGAGGGCAAGAGTGTTGTTTTCATTCTTTTAGAGTCCTGGCAGGATCCCATGACTAGCGAGGAGCTACAAGCTCTTCCAACATCCCGAGTCAGTTTTGGCTCCTGAAGAGACTCGGAGCTCGCAGCAAAAACCGAACAGAGGCGTCCCGGGTTCAAGGGAGGCCCAACTCTCCCAGTTAAAACAGTCCTGGGGAGGAGTGTACATCGAAGCTCCCAACCGGGTTGTGCCCCGGGCCTTGGCCGTCCTCCAGCCGCCCCCGCTCGCTCGGGTTGCTCCTCGGGCCGTCCCCGCCCCTGCGCACCTCCATTTCCTACTGCGCCTCCGCCCTTTCGGCCCCGCTCGGCTTCCGTCCCAGATGATCCCTCCCCGGGGCGGCCACCGCCTCCACCGCCGCGAGCTGGAGCCGCCTCCCGGGCCAGTGGCGTAGCCGAGTCGGCGTCCGGCCGGCGGTGCGGTGGGGACGGGACCCGGCGGGACCGAGCGGGGGGCCATGGAGAAAGCGGCCCGCGGCGCCGCGCACACCGACTAGAGCCGGCGCCCGACGCCGGCGCCATGGACCGAGCGCCGGCCGAGCAGGTACGCGAGTGCCCCGGCTGCTCTCGGCCTCCGGGAGGGCCAGGCCGTCTGGGCTGGAAGGCCCGGGGAGGTGGACCGGGGCCGGTCTGTGCTCAGCGGCGACAAGCGTTGCTCTTGCAACGGTCTGGAATGTATTCGTTTTATGAAGCGACTACCGTGGCTTTCCCCCTTGTTTCCCTAGCTAGTTACTTTGCAAATAATTATCCTTTTTAAGTGCAGCAAGAGTTCATTTTGAGCCCCCTTTTCGTATTCGCACAGTAGTTCCGTTAGTGGTGTCTTTAGTTTTTGATTGCATCAAATTCTTGCTGGTAAGTGCTGGGAGGAAGGGCTAGTGACAGTGTGAAAAATAACTTACAAGAATAGTGTCATGCTTCCTCCTCCCCCCAGCTTCTCTGGAAACGTCTTAATTTGATTCTGAATTTTCTTTACTGTCAGTTCTCTTCCAAAGCCTTGGTCAGGTAGTCACATAGTTGAAGGGAGAAGAAACACTAGTGACTTGCCTGTTATTTTTGCTAATAGTTGTGAACGCGAATAAACGAGACGCCATCTCCCAAATTCCTGTATATGTTTATATGTAGTTAAGGACAGTTTTGATTTTGAATTACACTCATTTCAAGCCAAAACACAGCTTTCTAGTTTTGTGCACTTTGTCGTTTCTGTTGTTGAGACTTGTCATATTGTCTATTCTATCCTCGATCTCTTAGGGTCGATCTTCCTGCCTCAGCACTTTGCACAGGGCCTCGCCACACAGACTTTAAGAAGGAAAGAAAAGTTTCAAGAGAACAGAAGTCTGCTTTTATTAAGGAGCACAAAGTATCAGAGGAAAATTGATGGGGGGGCTTCTTGATAACTACACACTTCCCTGTGGCCCAGAGTATTTTGTTACAGCTTGTCTTAAATTTAAGTAAAACGTTTTTAAAAGTAATTCCGGAAAAAAAATCAGAGATTTCAAAGTTTGACAAAAGAAAAGGAAATTTCCTGCATGTGCATCTCTAATGAAAGGGTGGGACATTCTGAGCCTTCGTGGACACTCAGGAACCGGTAATGCGTATGTATACTCACAGCTCCTTTCATCTTAGAGGAAATGTAATTACCTACTTAGATGGTAGCGTTTAGCATAGCTCTCTACATGTCATTATCCTAAGAGCAAGTGTTCCAGACTGTTTAGAGAGCATCCCTCCTCTGTCATCCCACAAACTCCACCATCTACAAAACCTTTGGAAATCTAAGAGCTAGAAAAAAAGCCATGCAAAATTATTTCCTATCGAAGGTTCTTTTTTGTTTGTTTTTTTTTTTCCCTCTTCCCTCCCGTACCTCTTGCCTCAGCCCAGCCTGTAGTGGGAGAACTACTACACAGCATTTAGATAGGTAAAAACCCTCAAGAAGAATTTGTGTCAAATTCCCATCACCCTCCAAATGTTTTGGTTTTTCCTTTTAAACCTTTGCTGGCTTATATTCAGAATTTCTGAAAACGCCTACAGCATTAACTGATGTAGTGCTTAGCAGTTTACATAAGTTAGTTTGTTTTTATTTTTTAATTGTGCTCGGTAATAGACTTGCTGCATTTCAAGTTAACATAATTAATAAATCCTTGAAGGACTGTACAAGGATAACTTAATCTAAACATTTGTGTCCGAAGACATTCGTGCTATAGGCTTTTAAAATTGCCATTTACACAAGCTCATTTTATGAAAAGATAAGCCTTGCTTATGTTCTGAGAAGTCATTGGTAATGTCGTGCTAGATGGATAGTCCTAATTGTAATAACAACTGAAATCATCTTAAAACTGGAAGAGCCTCTCAGGAGTATTCTCTCTTACTATTAAGTCAATAACAAGTAGCTCAATTTTTAACAGCCAGAGTTAGCTGTTACAAGGACAGTTATTACTTGGTATGATGCATTTTCGTGTGTGTGTGTGTGTGTGTGTGTGTGTGTGTTGGGGAAATAAGTTGCATTCTGTGCATGTAGAGGTCAGAGGTCAGGGTTGGGTAGATATTTTCCTCATTGCTCTTCACCTTGCTTTGCCTCACTGAACCCAGAGCTCACTGATGCAGCTAGACTGGCTGGCCCGCAAGCCGCAGGGATCCTCTGCCTGCCCTCAGCACTGGGACCACAGGCCCTACCTCCCAGTGAGCCCCAGGGATCCTCTGCCTGCCCTCAGCACTGGGACCACAGGCCCCTACCTCCCAGTGAGCCCCAGGGATCCTCTGCCTGCCCTCAGCACTGGGACCACAGGCCCCTACCTCCCAGTGAGCCCCAGGGATCCTCTGCCTGCCCTCGGCACTGGGACCACAGGCCCCTACCTCCCAGTGAGCCCCAGGGATCCTCTGCCTGCCCTCAGCACTGGGACCACAGGCCCCTACCTCCCAGTGAGCCCCAGGGATCCTCTGCCTGCCCTCAGCACTGGGACCACAGGCCCCTACCTCCCAGTGAGCCCCAGGGATCCTCTGCCTGCCCTCAGCACTGGGACCACAGGCCCCTACCTCCCAGTGAGCCCCAGGGATCCTCTGCCTGCCCTCAGCACTGGGACCACAGGCCCCTACCTCCCAGTGAGCCCCAGGGATCCTCTGCCTGCCCTCAGCACTGGGACCACAGGCCCCTACCTTCCAGTGAGCCCCAGGGATCCTCTGCCTGCCCTCAGCACTGGGACCACAGGCCCCTACCTCCCAGTGAGCCCCAGGGATCCTCTGCCTGCCCTCAGCACTGGGACCACAGGCCCTACCTCTGCACTAACTTTTTCCTTGGGTCTGGGGACCTAAACTCAAGTCTTCATTCTTTCACAGCAAGCACTTCATGGATCAAGCTGTCTTCAGGCCTCCTTTTTCTTAATAATAATAATAATAATAATAATAATAATAATAATAATAATAATAATAAATCTTGTATAAAGGAATGTGAAGAATAAATCATGGAATTAATTTGTTTGTAAAGATTCAGTGTCTCTATTTTTAGGAAATCTAGGAATGTTTTGGAGTTTTTGAATAAATAATAACGTAGAAGTGACAGGACACTTGAGGTTTGCAGGCTGTTTTATATTGTCACAGTTCTCTAAAATCATCTTAACTTTATTTAGTACATTAAGTACAGTCTTCTAAAAGGAGCTATAAAAATCACTGAGTATTTGCCTCTTTCATTCCTAGAAAGACAAATGCAACGAATGCCTATGGCTTCGTGCAGTTTTGTCACAAATAAGAATGTAAAACTGGGCTGGAGAGACGGCTCAGTTGGTAAAAGTACTTGCCACCAAGTCTGATGACCTGGAACCCACAGAGAAAGGAAGGAACCATTTCCTTAAAGCTGTCCTCTTCACATCCCACATACACATCACATATACATGTGAACATGTAATAAAAATATACGATTGTTTTAACAGTTAGCAAAATCCAGGACTCCAAACTAAATGCATAGTTTTCCATATCTGCAGGTTCTAACCTCTGAGAGAACCAACTGGATCAGGAATACTCAGGGAGAAAAAGTTGAGTCTGTGCTGAACACGTTCAGGCTGTCTTTGTTGTCCCTAAACAACACAGTCTAAGAGATAGACCCTTACATAGCCCTTGGGTTTGTTAGTTGTAAGTAGTAGAGAGAGAGGTAAACAGTACCTGCGGGGTGTGAACAGCCTGTGTGTAAATACCACACTCCCTCCAAGAGCTGAGCATCCATGGACTGTCAGATCTGTAGTGAAGGTCTGGTAACCTGCCTTGGACAGTGAGGGGCAACTGTATTTTAAGTGTTACTGTAAAACATTTATTATCCAGTCACACAACTGATGTTTTTTTATGGGACGTTAAGACACACACACACTTTTGTTTGTTTGGATTTTTCTTTTTGTTGTTGTTGTTTTAAGACAGGGTTTCTCTGTGTACCTTTGGCTGTCCTGGAAATCTGTAGACCAGGCTGGCCTTGAACTCACAGAGATCTTCCTACCTCTGCCTCCTGAGTGCTGGGAATAAAGGCCTGTGCCATCACTGCCCGGCTAAATAATACTCTTAGGGAATGTGCTCATTTAGTGAAAACATTTGGAAATTTTTAAGCCTTTATATTAAAAACAGAATGACAAGTCTTTAGAAAAATATTAACTAAATATCAAAGGTCAGAGACAAAAAGAATAATAAATAGGCTATGAAGAAAATATACATATCATGTAAAACCTATGAGATATGACTGAAGTGCTACTCTGAGACAGATGTGTAGTCATGAATACTCTGTGTGTGTCAAAGTTAAAAAGGAAAATAAAATTATCTGTCCAAGGCAAGAATTTGGGGGAGAAACTTTAAATAAAGCAAGAAAGAAAATAAATGTAAAAGCAGAAATTAATAAATTAGGTATGTGAACATTAATATTATGTGTAAAATGGTGACTTTCTGTTGTTGTTGAAGAAAACCATCAGGTTTTGACAGGCTTTAATAGTCCTGTGGAAAAGTGTGTGCGTCGGGAGGTAAGTGGTTACTCTGTGTAAATCCCCTGGCCTTTTCCTCAGTATGCTCTTAAATTTTGAACACTGACAGTTACAGTTTGTCTTGCAAGTGGTTTACTTTTCGACAGTTCAGCAGCAGGTATCTGGTTCATTCATGTCCCCTCGAAGGCACCTATTTTATCTGTCCCGAGGGTGTAAAAAGCACCTTAATGTCTGATGCATTTTCCCCTTCACATAGAATGTGGAGGCTTCCATCGTCCTTCCTGTGGGTGTGTGGTACATACTCTGAGGTTTCACTGTGGGAGAATGTCTCATTATGTTCTGCTTCAGTTTTGATTTTAGGTGGGTGTCACTTTTCTGTTGCTTAATCTGGGAGATGATTTGCATTCTCCTGGAGGCTTCTCGGAGGAGGAGCTCAGGATGCATTCTCTGCTGCGATGTGCTTTTGAGTGCTCTGTGCTTGTGTTCCGGTCACCTCGGTGCAGTGGCTGTCCCCGAGGCTCTGTGAGCCAGTGCGTGGCTAATGGACTCTCTCAAGGTTATTTGTATAAATGTCATTTTATTATTGACATTTGCTTTAATATGTTCAAAATCAAAAATGAGTGAAATGCGTAAGTATTTTTTTTTTTGTTTTTTGTTTTTTTTGTTTGTTTGTTTGTTTTTGGTTTTTTTTTTTGAGACAGGGTTTCTCTGTGTAGCTTTGCGCCTTTCCTGGAACTTACTTGGTAGCCCAGGCTGGCCTTGAACTCACAGAGATCCGCCTGGCTGTGCCTCCCGCCTGGCCGCGTAAGTATTTTCACAGACAGAATTACTCAAATTTTTCATTAACTTAGGAAATTCTGAGATAACTTGTGAAAGATAGTTTTACCACTGATTTGGGTTTTTGAAGCTGATAGTACACAACAGTGGTTATACTATTACTTTATATCTATTTTTTTATTTTATTTTATGTATGTAAGTGTTTTGACTGCATGCATGTCTGCACATGTGCATGCCTGGTGACTATGGGGACCAGAAGAGGGCACTGGATCCCCTAGAGCTGGAGTTAGAGACTCCAGGTAGGTGCTGAGAATCAAATCTGTGTCTTCTAGAAGAACAGTCAATACTCTTAACTGCTGAGCCATCTCTCTAGCCCATATTTACATTTTCTTTACAGTAAGGTAGTAGTTCCCTTCTATAAAATTTAGTTTCTCAAAATATAGATTATGAGGGGCTGGAGAGATGGCTCAGTGGTTAAGAGAGCATAGGACTTGTCAGTGGACCCAAGTTCAATTCCCAGAACCCACATAGGTTGGCTCACAACTACCTGTGACTCCAGCTCCATGGACTCTACCCCTCTAGCTGCACATACTCACTTATTTCACTTACTCACACATAGCCACATATAGTCATATATACATATAATTAAAAAGGAAAGAAACCTTTAAAATATGTCTATATAAATATATAGATCATGAGCTAGGTGTGGTGTATACCTATGAGAGGTTGAGGCAGGAGGATCAGGAGTTCAAGGCTAGTCTGGAAATAGTGAGACCCTTTAAAAAATGGCAATAAAAATTAGTGACTAAAACATGGAAATTCAAACTGAGGAATAATATATAAAGTAACTAGTCTAATTTTTCAATATTTTCAAAGATATTTTCTTCGATTTCTATACTAACTTTAAAAATTGACAAAATTTGTATTTTGACATTTGAATTTTAAAGGATTATTTGCATTCAGCATTGCTTTTTGGGCTGTTTGTTTAGGTGTATGGTAGATCATTGAAAGCTTCAGAGTCACAATGAACAACTTCGGAAAACATGTAACGTTGAAACTGTAGAGAAAGCTTGTCAGTCTGTTCCTTCTGGTGACATCTTCTACCCATGCAGCTGTTGACCACAGTAGCTTCTCTCTCTCTCTCTCTCTCTCACTTTGCTAAAAACAAAGGATCATTTCAGTGTTTGTGAATTTTATTGTTGAACTTTGGTGTCTAGAATTGCACTTAGAGTAGAAACCAGTACAAGTCTTTGTCTTCGAGGATGCATTCATGTGTGTGTGTGCCTGTGTGTGTGCGCGCGCATGTACACATCAGCTTAAGTAGCCATACATTCTGATCAAGTTACCTGGGGCTATAACATGTTTATATAAAATGCAAATTAGGCTGTGTGCAGAAGTTTGTTGCAACTTTTGATCTGAACAAGAATTTGAATTTGTTACCAAAGTAATTGATTAGGTTGTTTTGATTTTGATGAGGTTTTATTGGGGGAGGGGCACAGGGGAAGAAGCAAGAAAAGTATTATTTAAAACTGTTCATAGTTAATTACTATGACTCTTTTCTTCATTATAGACTCTTCAGTGTATTCGTATTCCTTGCTTTATAGAAACTTAATAAATATTAGTCTAGATCTTACAACTCTTCAGAGTTCTTCCATGTTCAGAAAGACTCTGGTTTTTAAAAGAAATCCTAAAAATTACATTTTAGTGTAATTAAAAGAGGATTTCTCTGCTTTTGTGCATGTGTATAAACTATATAAAACAAGTTTTTATTATCTGAATTGTTGGAAGTCAGCTTCTTTTTTTTTTTTTAAAGATTTACTTATTTATTATGTATATAGCATGTATGACCAGAAGAGGGCACCAGACCTTATTACAGATGGTTGTGAGCTACCATGTGGTTGCTGGGAATTGAACTCAGGACCTCTGGAAGAGCAGTCAGCGCTCTTAACCTCTAAGCCATTTCTCCAGCCCAGGAAGTCAGCTTCTTTACCCAAGTAAATCGTTTATTGGTATGTTGTGTATCAGTTTTCAGTTCTAACGAGTGGCAGAATGAGAATTGCCAGCTCCCTGACACTTGAAGGTGCTTTGCCAGAATTGTCTTGCAGGAAACCATCCGTAGTTCACAAGTAGGTGTTCTTACTCCTTCAGCTTTGGCTGATAGTGTGAATGCTGACTCACAGTTCAGTGGGGCAGGGAGGGAGGAACCTTGCTAATAGTGCAGATCTATCTCCTCCACTGTTAACGAGCATTTCTCCTATATACCCCAGACTGTTGAGGGATCGTTTGGCTTTTCTGAGGAAAAGTTGTCCATTACGCCTTATCTTTAACTTTTCATGCATTTGTTATTACTTTTGTAAGAAAAGAGACCTGTGTTTTTGTGGGAGCTTTTATTAAACGTCACATTAATGACTTTAGCAGGAAAATGTCCTAGTTAGGATTATTTTGTTTTTGGTTTTGTGTTTTTTGTTTTGTTTTTGGTTTTGGTTTTTCGAGACAGGGTTTCTCTGTGTAGTCTGGCTGTTCTGGAACTCACTCTGTAGCCCAGGCTGGCCTCGAACTCCCAGAGATCCCCCTGCCTCTGCCTCCCAAGTGCTGGGATTAAAGGCATGTGCCACCATTACCATCTAGAACTATTGTTTTTTAAGGTAATTGTTTGAGTGGTTGAAATATTGACTTCCGGCCGGGCAGTGATGGTGCACGCCTTTAATCCCAGCACTTGGGAGGCAGAGCCAGGCGGATCTCTGTGAGTTCGAGGCTGTCTTGAAAAACCAATAAAATAAAATAAATAAAAATAAAAAAAGAAAGAAATATTGACTTATTTCACCAACTTTGTTTTAATAAGAAGGTGTTTAGTATTTTTTAGATTATGAATTTACATGGTTAACATTCTGATTTTGAAAACTATACCATAGATTGCTTTTTTTTTATTCTCTTTTTGAGACAGGGTCTCTAGACCTGATTGGCATTGAATTCTATGTAGCAGAGGATGGATGACTTTGAACTTGTGATCCTCCTGACTTTTTACCTCTCGAGTGCTGGGATTCCAAACCTGCACCACCATGCCCAATTTATGTGGTGCTGGAAATTGAACCCAGGGCTTTGTGCATGCTAGGCAAGTACTCTACCAGTTGGATTTGACCCCCAGTTGCTACCCACCCCCTTGTAGGGAGACCGGGTCTTGTTATATCTGGGCCGACTTACTCACTATTTAGCCCAGGCTGGTCTCAGGCTCTTGGCCGTTCTCCTGCTTTAGTCTCCTACGATTACAGGGATGAGCTGCCGTGCCCACGTCCTACAGATATTTTTATGTTTCAGAAACTTAAATTTGTTAAATGCAATGTGCAGAAAATTACTAAAATCAGCGTACAACCTGATAACACGTTGGATGGCTTTTAAGTTCCTCTAAGATCTAGAACTTCCCAGGGACCCCTAAGCTCCCCAGGTGCCTCTTTCCTAAGAGTGTGTTCCTGTCCTGATGGGTAGAGAGCTCATTTCTTAATATTTTTCCATGGGTGTGTTTTCCCAGAGGGTAGTTTTCCATGGCTTTTAGTTTTTTGGAACTGTATCATAAGAAAAGATACACAGGAATGGGGGAGACTGACATGGAAGTCGGTGTTAGGGTCACATTAGTGTCTGGGTATCTCCTGGAAAAAATTACTATCATTCTTTCCCTCCATACTTAACCATGAAACTTAATTTTTCTCCTATGTTTTTGACTCATTTTAGACATTTCCCTTCATTGTAATTTAATGATACAAAACTTAATTTCCTGCCATGGGCAGAAATAGACTACTTTTTCAACTATTCAAGGAAATGTAATTATTCTTCAGAACTTAAGTTGAATAAGACTTTTCCCCCTTACGAAATTAGCAAAAAATACCGTTTTGTCTGAGAAGCTAGATTTCTTACTACTACTGTATTTTTAGAGCTGAGTTATGACTTCTTTATAGTTTTTGATTATTTTAGCAGCTCCATTGCATAAGAAATGATTTCATTGGAATGTTGTGACTTTTGTTAAGTTCTTCCTTGGTTTCCTGGTTATCCGCTTACTTTAAGTTGACATTGCCGTTCCTTCTGTGTGTTCTGTGAGTACTGTTTGGAGGGTCGTTATAAGTGCCAAATGTGTATTGGTTGTTCATTTGTAACCCATGCATTCTGTTTTCTCTTTGAAGAATGTCAAACTGTCTGCTGAAGTAGAGCCATTTATTCCCCAGAAGAAGAATCTGGATGCGTTTGTGCTCCCTATGGCTCTCCCAAACGATAATGGAAGCATTTCTGGTGTCGAGCCAACGCCAATCCCCAGTTATCTGATTACCTGTTACCCATTTGTCCAGGAAAACCAGTCCAATAGGTAATATCTTTAGTTTTGTTTCATTGGTGGGGATATAGAACTTGGCATAGTCCATTAATCTTTTTCTTTTGTAACTTTCAAACTTTAATATTTGTTTGTATTTTTAAGAAGAAGTAAAAATATGCAGAAATTTGAAAGCTGTCAACATGTATTATTTTCTTATTCTTTGTAAGAGGAAATGCATTTTTCTGAGCATGCCATTGAAATATATTGCAGTATAGTGACCCAAGGGAGATGTGAAATACAAGAAACCTTTTTTGAGATTAAATGCTTAATCTCATAGTTGCCAGGACAGTGTCTGGCACAAGAAGGAGACATGAGGGACAGGTGTTGGGGTGCCATGATTGAGTATGTACTTCTGCTGCTTCCCCAAATCTAGCTCGGTCCCGGTAGCTCCAATAGCATGTGCCTGTAGGACCCGGCGGGGCTTGCAATAGTGGGGTATGCTTGCTGACCCTCCAGAGGTCTGCTGGGGCCCTCGTTGCTGCAGTTCATTGTATTGTTCATCGCATTGCCTGTTTCAAGTTATGCCGTGTACAGGAAATGGTATTTCTCAGCACTGTGGGATGAATGGATGAGGCAGATATGGCTCTATGACTCTGTGCAATCGTCTGTGGGCTGAAGCAAGTAGTATTTACACATCTGTAGCCCATTGTGGCATACTCTCATCCCAGAGCACATTCTTTGCAAAATTCTGGATGTGTGATTACACACATTAACAGACTACCTTGTGAAATAGTAACGCCCCAGTGAAGATCCTGAGTTTCTTACTCCAGACTTTTCAAAGTTAGGCAAACAGTAGAACTAAAGAACCCTTCTCAGTTGAACTTAGACTTCATTGAAAATCTTTGTGTCAGTTGGGTGTGGTGTCACAGACATGGAGAGGTAGAGGCAGGAGGATCGTGAATTCAAGGTCATCCTTGAAGTCAAGGCTAGCCTAGGCTTCATGAGCCCCGTTTTTGTTATTGTTGTTGTTTTAAAGATTGCACTGTCAGATAATGTAGAGCATTTCTATAAACAATAATACTAGTTCTCTCTGTAGCAAAATAGCCATGTGCACTATGAGAAATTTGTTTTCTTGCCTTAATGTGAGGTAGTCATTAGGAATTCATAAGCAAGCCATCCTTCAGATTATCTTTTAAGTATTTTTAGGATTTTGGTAGTCAACCTTGTCTTCCATTTTGCTTTGCCGTTGCAAAGGCGAGAAAAGGGACCCCTTGTTCCTCAACAGCAACCATTGATGAGAGGGCTGCTGGGACAAGACAGCATCTTATGAGCTTTGTGGGAACTGAGTAGAGGATAAAGGTATCAATGAAGTCTTCTTCCTGACTTCCTTGGACTTGGAGCTTGGGTTGCCAAGGAGAGAAGCCTTGCCGAGACCCGAATTGGCTTAGTGATTAGGGGAAGAGGAGGTGTTGGGGGGGTCACTCCCTGAGGGTGCTCGGCTTTTGCAGAAGGCTGTGGCAGTTGTCAGTATTGGACGCGAACTATGGGTGGTCGTGTTTAGGTGCGGAAGCTAGGGGTTTCACTTTTAGGCAAGCAGATCGTGAGAGGTTTGAGAGCAGACTCAGAGGGATGTGGAATTCGGCAAGTTCTCAGGCTAGATCCCTTTATACTACCATGTGTGTTGTTATAAGTACAGGGCATAACACATGATGGCGTTAGTTTTGCCTTTTCCCCTACAATTATTATGAAGGCACTCTTCTGTCTTTATTGTTTGTTCTGCTTTAATATTACTCTTGGACTCGTTGATAGATTTTTTTCTGTTTTGTTTGGTTTCACAGACAATTTCCTTTATATAACAATGATATACGATGGCAACAGCCCAGCCCGAACCCTACTGGACCCTACCTTGCCTACCCCATTATATCTGCTCAGCCACCTGTGTCCACAGAGTACACCTATTACCAGCTGATGCCAGCGCCCTGCGCCCAAGTTATGGGCTTCTACCACCCTTTTCCTGCACCTTACTCCAGCACCTTCCAGGCTGCGAACACTGTCAATGCCATAACCACAGAATGCACGGAGCGTCCACATCAGCTGGGGCAGGCCTTCCCGTTGTCCAGTCATCGGAGCCGGAACGGTAACAGAGGGCCGGTAGTGCCAAAAGTGAGTGGCCACTTTCTTGAGGTGTAGTTTTTAAATGCGGTATGTCTGTTGGTGACACTAGTATAGGTAATTTACTGCTGGTATCCATTGACCTTTAACGCTTCACTTGCTACGAAGTAGAAAGTGTTAGAGGCATATTTTAAAAAATCATTTTTCCTGTGGTATTTATTTCCCCCTCACTCTTGATTGATAATGTAAAGTCATCTTCATGATCATTCATTGAGTTTTACGTAAACACAATGCACAGTTATTTCTAAATTATTTCAATTTTGTGCTAAAATCACTTCACAGCGATGATGTCAACATTAAATGGATCATGTGGTTGAATGTTAATGTGCCTCAAGCTGTTTCAGTCTTCTGCAGGCAGCAGGAGAATGGGAAAGAACAGTGTTAGTGGTTCCTCATAGCCCTTCAACCTCAGGGTCTGGATTCTGAGTCGTTAGTAGGAAAAACAGTTTGTCACTTAAGAGAGTAAGAAAGAAGTCAGTGACGCAGCCACTTCTGTTCAAGGCCAGCGTTGGACTTGTTTTATATATATATGTATATATATAAAAGATGCAGTGCTGTCCTCCTTGAAGTCACGGGAGAGTTCTATTTCCCCTAGGCTGCTTTTCTGTTAAGGGCCTTTATTGAAGCTGTAAGAAAAGCCTGTTTGTAGCCAACACTGTTGAGCTGATGGAAGACATTTCTCTGCGTTACTGCTGTGGAGAATTCTCACTCTCCCAAGTTCCATTAGCTAGCTTCCTCGGTAGAAAGTCTTTGCTGCCTTTTGGCATAATTTTTTAAAATTAAAAATAAATAAGCCGCAGAAATGAATTTGAAAATATTTTTGCCTTGGTTCGTGGAAACATTGTGGGTCAAGGGAACTTTTTTTTGGGACCACCAAGGATGAAAGGAAATAGGTATTAAAAAGTAAGATTGTCGTGTATATTTTCCAGGTGTTCGAAGAATGGGGTTTCTCAGCACACCTTCCCACTAGTTCCGACTCAGGAAGTGGAAGTTAAATTCAGAGTTCTGGTGTATAAATTGCTGTTGAGGAGTAATTGCTCCAATTTTTAAAAATTTGAAGAAAGAAATCAGCTTTTTAATATTTTCTGTTTGGACACCAAGGTAGAAATATTTTGCTCATCTTTGTTATGAGCCCAAATTTAGTGACTGGGTAACTTTTCATGCTTTTACTACCTTTTAAAATAAAAATGTTTAGCCCTTCATATGGCACTATTAAAATCTTGCTAATTGTTAATAATTGACTTAAAAAAATAAAAATGCAGGTAAACACTAAAATCAACTCAGATTTTACTAATCATAGTGTTAATAATTATCCAAAAAATATTGTGTAAATGTGCTTATGGTACATTATTTAGCTTGTGATGCTTCTTAGTGAATACTTTCTCAGAATCAGCTAAGAGCCCCTGATTTGTGGTGCACCTTTTGGTCTTTCTGTGATGAATGTGATGTGTAATTGATGTTTAGTACATTTACTGGGTTCCTTTTTTTATGTGTGCGTGTGTGTGTCTTTTAAACTTAGCCACAGCTTTTACAACAACATATAAAAAACAAAAGACCGCAGGTGAAGAATGTGGCCACTCAGAAAGAAACAAGCTCAGCAGGTCCCGATAACCGATCCAAGATTGTGCTTCTGGTGGATGCTTCCCAGCAGACTGGTAAGGCAGAGGCCTGTTTGTTTGTTTTCTTGTTTATTCTTGCACGTGTGGGTAGGCGTGTGTACTGTCTCAAAGTTGATGCCTAGTGTCCTCAGTCGCTCTCCTCCCTACATATTGGGGGGTAAGGCGGGGTGTTGGGGTAGAGACTCAATGAACCTGGACCTGGCTGTCTTGGCCAGTCTAGCTAGCTAGCTTGTGCTAGGGATTCTCTTTGCCTTGTGCGCTCAAGACAAGCTCAGCTACATACTGAGAGCCTGTCTCAAAGAATATTGGAGAGATGGCTCGGTGCTTAAGAATGCTTCCTGCTTTTGCAGAGGACGGGAGATTGGCTCCCAACAGCCATGCCAGGTGTCTCACAACAGCCTGTAACTCCAGCTCCAGGGAATCTGATGCCTCTGGGCTCTATGAGCACCTGTACTTACAGGCACATTACCCTCTCCCTATTAAACATAAAAATGAATTTTTAAAAATTTGTAAATGTCATAATGAAATTCATTATTACATATAAGTGATATATGCTCATAAAAACTTTTAAAAAGACTCACTCACAAGAGAATCCTCCAGACAAGGTCTGGATTGGTGTAACTAGGTGGCTCGTTGCTTTCTGTTGTCTAGCCTTTCCTGGTGGATAGTTAATGGTATGATGTTTCACATGTGCTTAGATCCTTCCGGAGCAGAAAGAGGATCTGGGAGTTAGTTGAAAGCCATCTTGTTGATCTTCCAGTGCTGTGTGGCTTGTAAGGCCTAAGGCAGTGTGTTTAATAGGCTGCCATGCTTAGAGTAGTTATGAGGAAAGTCATGTGGTCCAAATCTGTTCTTCCTCACAGTGACTCATTCTACATCCTTTTGTAAACCTTAGCAAGATTCTTAAAAGTACTGTCTGAGCCAGGCGTGGTAGCACACACTGTTTTGGTTTTTGAGACAGGGTTTCTCTGTGAAGTCCTGGCTGTCCTGGAATTTACTCTGTAGACCAGGCTAGCCTCAAACTCAGAGATCTGTCTGTCTGTGCCTCCCAAGAACTGGTTTTAAAGGAAAGTGCCATCACATCTGTTTTTGTTTTTTGTTTTTTAAATTGGTGGTAGTGGTGGAGGTATACACTTTTAATCCTAGCACAAGGAGGCACAGGCAGGCAGATCTCTGAGTTTGAGCCTAGCCTGGTCTACAGAGTGAGTTCTAGGATAGCCAGGGCTATATAGAGAGACTGTGTTTCAAAAACAAATAAACAAACAAACAGCAAAAAGACTGTCTGTACTTTGTTCCTTAAGTCATCAAAAAGATAGCCTCCTGGAACATAAAAGTTGGGAGGCATGATTTGAACAGATTGTGTATACTTTCAGCGTTTTCATTCCTTAGTTTGTTTTTAACTTCTGAGGATTACCTGGCAGCACTAAGAGATAAAAATTACTTAGTTTTTGTAGAAGTAGGTCTTTCTACTTGTAGCAGGTTTTTACCTTTGAACAGGCTTGTATTATTATGTAATAAGAATATAAGGGGGCTAGAGTCAAGAAAGGGAGCTGCAAGATTGCTCATCAGGTGAAGGTACTTGTTGTCACACTGGACAACCTGAGTTTGGTCCCTGGAACCTGCACAGTGGATAAAGAGATCCAACTCCCAGCCGGGCGGTGGTGGCACACGTCTTTAATCCCAGCACTCGGGAGGCAGAGCCAGGCGGATCTCTGTGAGTTCGAGGCCAGCCTGGACTACCAAGTGAGTCCCAGGAAAGGCGCAAAGCTACACAGAGAAACCCTGTCTCGAAAAACCAAAAAAAAAAAAGATCCAACTCCCACAAGTTGTCAGCTCTTTGCTCAGCTGTGGCACTCAGGCCCACACACATGCACATACATAAAACAGATAAAATGTAAACAACAACAACAAAAAAGCAAACCAGTTGTCTGGATACAAGAGAAAAGCAAAGATCAGCTGTGTTCCCACGTGACACAAATAAACAGTTTAAGGTTTACAGCAGCAACAGGAATTCAGGAGTTTCTGGACTCAGAGTTAGGGATCCATGAGGGGACCCCTCGATTGATGTGTAAGACCTTAGAAAACCTGATTATCAAGCACTAGCGTCCCCCAAAGTGAGTCTGCCGTTCAGTACAGTTATAATTAAAATCCCAATAAGAATTTTGGGGGAATTCAACAAAGTAATTCTAAAATAAAGGAGCAGTGGTCTGGAAAGTGTCCTTTGTGCACTAAAGCTTAGAGTCAGCTTAATGCTTTTTAAGTTAATTAACTTTGTTCATTGACAACTTCATTCATGTACACAGAGAATTCTGTCACCTTCACTTCCACGGTCATCTACTCCCACCCACCCCCATGTGCCCTGTCTTCACCCTACCAATCCCTTCCCACATTGCTGTCCTTCTCCAGGTTTATGGTATCAGTGTCGTAAGTAAGAACGGGAGCAGAAGTCCATGGGGATGATACGGACATCATTGCAGCCTCCTAATTTATACCCCATTCAGTTGACCAAGACTTAGATGAGAAAGAAAGCCAGTGAGCAAAGAGAATGCAGCTGCTCCTTCGTGGCTGCCTGACTACAGAAAGAGGACCATTCCCAAAATTTAGAATTTCAGTTTAATTTAAAAGAATAAACTATAAGATTGGAAAAGTTTGTCTATTTATTTATTTATTTTTAAAGATTAGTGAGAATAAGAAAATAGTGGTGTACTGTCTTTGGGGCTTGGGGGCTAGGGAACTGGAGCAATTTTGGATTTAGGGATCGTTCTTTTGATGAGGTTAATCCATAGTAGGTGTGCTCACGTGGAGCTTCTCCTTTGAAAGAGATTTAAACTGTTATCGTAGTGCAAGAAAAATACCAAAACCTTCCTAGTGTCCAGTGACAGGATTCCCCTCCATAGAATATATAAAGCCATCTTGCAGTAAAGTATGAGGACTTGTCATAACACAATGACATAGTATTAAACAACACAGATCCAAATTATATCAGTTGTGAGGGAGGGTCTGGAGGGAGGACTCAGCAGTTAAGAGCGATTGCTGCTTTCCCAAAGGACCTGAGTTCAGGTTCTAAGTAGCTATGTTAGGGACTCACAGATGCCTATAACTCCAGCTCACACAGACACATACACACAAATCAACAAATAATCAAATCAGTCTTAATAGAACTGTAGAAAAAGGAAAACTTGTGAATTGTTGAGGTAATTGTAACAAGCTCTTTAAAAATGTCTTAATATTTGTGAAATTAAAATAAACAACTCAGTGGAAAACTTCACAGAAGTCACACTGAAAATAAAATTAATCAGAATTTCACAGAAGGAGAACATTAGTAGCTAAAACCATCAGAAAAGATTCTTGACCTCATTATTAAGTATAGAGTACAAATTAAAACTAATAAGCCACCTTTTCTATGTAGCAGATTGGCATAAGTTACAGTTGGAGAGGCATTGTCAATTATTGTGTGTTTGAATCATTGGGCATACTTGTTTTGTTTTGTTTTTTTCTTTTTCTTTTTTTTTTTTTTTTTTTTTTTTTGGTTTTTTGAGACAGGGTTTCTCTGTGTAGTTTAGGTGCCTGTCCTGGATCTCGCTCTGTAGACCAGGCTGGCCTCGAACTCACAGAGATCCACCTGGCTCTGCCTCCCTTGTGCTGGGATTAAAGGCATGCACCACCACCACCCAGCAAATTGGGCATATTTATATATCACTGTTGGAATGTAGGTTGTTTTAACCATTCAAAAATGATTTAGCATGATCCAGTTTGAATCTGTGTCCTGTACAACCCTTTCATGTTTGCCTTACAGAAACTTCATGTACATACATTTGCTGTCATGTGTCTCAGACTGCTAGCTATCATTGAATTCCTTCTTTGACAGTTTCATACACATATAACGTACATTTTGATTGTTTTGTGTCTCTGCCCCCAACCAACAGTGGGTTGTTTGTTTTGAGATACTCTAACTGTGTAGCCCTGGCTGTCCTGGAACTCAGCTCTGCAGACCTAGCTGACCTTGAACTCACAGAGATCCTCCTACCTTTGCCTCCTGAATTGGAAACAACCAAAGCATACTGTGAATGGTAGAAAGGATAAATGTGTTGTTATATTCATTCATGCAAAAGCAGTTTGTATACAGTGGCATTAATTAACCAGAGCACCATCAGCAGAATCTTAAAACTAGTGTTGAAGTAGCAGAGAATAAGATAATAGCTGATTATTTTAGTGATACAATCAAAAGCTGTAAAAGTAAAGATTTCTTTTTTAATTTATTTAACTTTATTTTATGTGCATTGGTATGAAGGTGTCATATCCTGGAACTGGAGTTACAGATAGTTGTGAGCTGCCATGTGGGTGCTGGAAATTGAACCCGGATCCTCTGAGAGAGCAACCAATGCTCTTAACTGTTGAGCTATCTCTCCAGTCCCCAAACTGTTTTTTTGTTGTTGTTACTAGGTTGTTTGTTTGTTTGTTTGTGGGTTTTTTGTTTTTTTTTTTGTTTTTTGTTTTAGATTCTCTGTGTAAATAGTCCTGGCTGTCCTAGAACTTACTCTGTAGTCCAGGCTGACCTCAGACTCACAGAAATCTGCCTGCTTCTGCCTCCCAAGTACTGGCATTAAAAGTGTGCACCACCACTGCCCAGCCAGTTTCTTTTTTAGAAATACGAAAATCTGTGGGAAATCTGTACAGGAAGTTGAGTGAAAACTAAACACAGATAGTGGTGACAGGGAAGGTAGTCTAGTGGGGGCACAGACAGTGACTTTGAAAGATTGGCGATGCTCTTTCTTAAATGGCCGATGATTTCAGTATTTTATGACACAACTATTTTGTTTTCATAATGATGCCATGTTATAAGTTATTAGGAACATTTTATATGATCTTTTCAAAGAGTCACATATTTCTCCCTTTACAGACTCTGTTACTTTATTTTTCTTAGAACCTTAATAATTTAACAAGATTGTATAAACTTGGTCATCACAGAGAATTGTCCACTTGCCTTGCCTTGTAGATTTCCCATCAGACATTGCTAATAAGTCTCTCTCAGAGAGCACAGCCACAATGCTCTGGAAAGCCAAAGGCAGGAGGAGGAGAGCCTCCCACCCTGCTGCAGAGTCCTCCAGTGAGCAGGGGGCCAGCGAAGCTGACATCGACAGTGACAGTGGCTACTGTAGCCCCAAGCACAACAACCAGCCTGCGGCAGGCGCTCTGCGGAATCCTGATCCTGGGACCATGAATGTGCGTATTCCTCACTTGTTTGTCTGTCTGTCTGTTAGTTGTTAGTCTTGCTGTCAGTATATTGTGTCCTTTGCTGAAACTGAAGTATTCATTTTTTTCTTTATAGCAATCCTTAATGGTATTTACTATTCACGAAAATATGAAACACTGTTAATAAATATATTTATTACTAGGTTAAATTGAAACATTTGCCAAGTATGACATGTTGACTCTTAACTAGAAACTAACCATCCTTTCTGTTTCATGTTTTTAGCATGCGGAATCATCAGGCTGTACAGGTACTTATTTTTTGCAGTGTTTTTTCTGTATTTTCTTCTTTGTCCATTTTAAGTTTTCCTTTAAGTATGGCACTTACCAGGGCTATAAACAAAACTTCAGTGATTCAAGTTAATTGAAAAGTATATATAGTTTTACCAAACAAGTTGAGAAAATGTGATCTGGAGCATTCTGCAGGATGACATTTGTGTTGCTAAGAAGGCACATGCCACTCTAAACTTACAGAGAAAATTCCATGTCTGTCGTGACTCAGTTGTTTAGATTTTTTTTTTTTTGGCCTCCATTATCAGCTAATCTAATCTTTAATATCTTCACACGTTTGATGCAGGTGGTGTAAACTGGCCCAAAGTAACTTGCCAGGCAATCCAGAAAAGACCGTGGATGGAAAAACACCAGGCATTTTCTAGAGGGGGAAGGCAGACTGAACAGAGAAATAATTCACAGGTACTTTGAATGAGGTTGGAAATTTGATTAGGTGTGAGATGACTAGTGTTAAATTTATCATAATAATGGTGTAGTAGGCACATTATCCTTAAAGGTACACAAAGTTATCTAAGTGTGAACTGCTGTGGGCTGTTGATAAAACATGAGGACCTGAGTTCGGATCCCCAGCCCCCACTTAAAATACTGTCATGCTGCAGTGCACATCAGTAACCACAGAGCATGAGAGGCAGGCAGCCTAGCTGAATTGGTGAGCCTCGGGTTCAGTGAAAGACTGTCTGGAAACAGTGAGGTAAAGAGAGACAGAAGAGGGCACACACGTATGATTATGCAATAATCAGTATGCCTTGGTGTGCCCCAGGCCAGTGAGAGATCTGTCTTTAAAAAAGGCGGTTGTCTTCTGAAGAAGGGCACCCGAGGCTGCCATCTGAGGAACGACAGAAACACAACATGCATGTGCATCACACGTGTGCACAGAGAGCTCTCACATCTAAAACTTCTTAAATGCCTTAGCAGAGCATAAATAATGAAATGGCAGTGTGTTGAGTGAGGGTGGCGAGAATGTGGTGTAAGTGGTTCATCTTCATGTCTGGTTGAGGATGCTGTAGTTTTAGAAAAGGACACCCTCCACCTGCTGTTTGACCTGCTGTGTCTGTTTCCTTCCTCTCAGAGATTGGAGCCTTCTTCTCTTAAAAATGGTTGTTTGAACTTAAGGACTGTAGGGTCTGTGGGTTCTAAACATACATTTATTTATTTTGTGGGTGTGAGATTAGGACAGCTTGCAAGAATAAGGACCAGTCTCAGGTCATCAGGCCTGCTAGCAAACACTTTGCCTGCTGAACCATCTTTTCAGCCATGGGTATTTTGATGTGGCTTATTAACCCTTCCATGCTAGCGGCACTGTCACATTGATGGTTCCCTGGTGCCACAGTGTGACTAGACTGGGCACTCTCCGGACAGTCATCAGAGTGGGCTGTGCACAGCTATGTACTTACAGGGACTGTTCTTCCTGTGTTGATTGGCTGTCAAATCAGGGAATTGTTTATTGGTCATTATTTCTATTTTTCATTTTAGATAGACTTCCTGGATCTTTATGTCCAGTTAAGAAATTAAAGCTGTCATATAAATATGAATGGACCAAAAGTAAGAACAAGATACTGGATTGTGTATACCAGCTGCTGCCTGCTCTTGGCCTCCCTGAGATGAACACTTGAGATAACTCCTTGACTTAGGCTCTGCTTGCTGTCAGGAAAACAGAAGGAATGTTCCTTCCCTGTGATTCTGCAGAATCAGGCCATTTTGTGGCTCAGGCTTGTGAGGCTATCTGGCTTCAGCTTTATTTGATGGTAAAGGTTAGACAAAGCCTGCAAGATGTTTACTGAGTTTTTCTGTTGAAATTGAAACCTCCTGCTTTCTGAAGTTCCTGGTCTGGGTCCTGGCCTGGTTTGTTTTGTTGTTGGTTTGTTTTGTATCTGTGTCCATTAAGGGAAATAACCCTGAGATGAAAAACACTGTAAATGCTTTCTCTTTACCTGATAACTGGTGGGAAAAAAGGAAGCTAAGCAGTTAAGTGTATTTTATTTGTTTGTTTTGAGAAGGTCTTTCCCTAGAGGCTAGCCTGGATCTTGCTGTTAGCTCAGGTTGCTCTGAACTTGTGACCTTCCTCCCTTCATCCCCAAGTGGCGGCATATGCCACTCCAGCTAGCAGCTCTGCTCATTTGGTGTCTGTCTTCAGTCCAGCCCAATTTTGACAGTGTGTTGTCTGTCTGCTACTGATGTTTCCTTGTCCTAGTATTTTTCTTAAGTATATACTTGCTTTTTCCCAATACTAACTCCTTTCTTAAGTCAAAATATTATGCCCCTTTGCAACTTCTAATTGTTTCCTATACTTTAAAAGGCTTTTAGAAGGTAAGTCCCACAGAAAACATTGACCCGTATTTTATACTAGTTTTGTTTTTCCTGTGTGTGAGTGTGTGTAGGTCGTCAGATAACTTTGGAGTTAGTGCTCTTCTTCCGCCTTCTCACGGGTTCCGGGGGTCCAGCACAGGTCGGCCAGGCTTCACCACAAGTACTGTTAGCTGCTGAATGGTCTCACTAGTCCTTGTGCTACTTTTTTATAGTGCAGCGTTTCGAGATATTTTTATCAGAGACTTAACTTTGATGCATGGTGATCTAGATTTTTAAAGCAGCAAACCACTTTTCTTTTCTTTTCTTTTTTTTTTCCGAGACAGGGTTTCTCTGTGTAATAGTCCTGCCTGTCCTGGATCTCGCTCTGTAGACCAGGCTGGCCTGGAACTCACAGAGATCCTCCTGCCTCACCCCCGATGCAGCAGATACTTCCTTCACTGAGTGTAGGACTGGAGAGATGACTGAGTGGTAAGAACGCTTGCTGTGCAGGCCTGAGGACCTAAGGTGAAGTCCCCAGCGCCTGTGTCACATCAGACATAGACGTGTGTGCCTGTGACCCTGACACTGCCCCGGGGGCAGAGACAAGAGGACGCTGCAGCTTGCTGGCCCCTGGCCTAGCTGTGGGTTCCTGGGGTTCCCTGAGAGACCCTGTCTCATGGAGTAAGGCTGAGCGTGACAAAGCAGGCTACCTGCTCTGTACACAGATACACAGGGGTCTGCATAGACACACGTGTGTGGATGGCCCACACAGAGACTAGACATAGGGAAGATAGGGAAAAGAAGAAAGGAAAATCAAGGGATAAAGGAGGAATGTAAAGGGCTTCAGGAGTTTTGATTTCTATTGCATTTTGTCACTGTCCCATGACACCGGGGCAAGCCAAATTTCTAAAGATAAATGCTTTATCTAATTTATAGTTTTGGAGAGCAGAAGTCTAAAGAGCATGATATAAGCCCTGGTGAAGTCCTCCTAGCATGTAATGGGAATGTTTTTGTGAAGAGAGGGGGATGAAACCACATCTAGAAAGCCAGAGAGAGACCTAGGGGTCAGATTCAGCTTAGCTCTTAAAAATTAAGCAAGACTGACTGACCAGCATGCCCCAGACACCCTCCTGGCTCTGCCTTTCCAGCAGTGGGGTTAGAAGGGCATGCCACCACACCGGGCTTTTTAAAGTGGATTCTGGCAATCAAACTCAGGTCCTGATGTACCACAGGCAAGTATGTTACCGCTGAGCCCTTTCCACAGCCTTAGGCCCACCTCTTGGAAGTTCCACACCTCCCAATGCCACCAAGGCCTCTAGGAACCAAGTTCTAAAACAGGAGTACTTGAGGCAGACAATATTCAAAACAGTTAACATGTTAATTAGATTTTCAAAAGGTTTTAATGTAGTTGGACATCTCCATGTTTTGAGTTATTTGCGTTTCTTTTTCTGTGAACTTGTCTGGTCATGTCTCTGCTTGCTTTTTGACTCTGGATCTATTTCTTTTTATCTTGATTTATTTTGAGATCAGGTCTTAATATGTAGTCTAGGCAAGCCTTGAACTTGAAGTCTCCTACCTCAGCCTCCCAAGACTTGGGGTTACAAGTGTGCCAACATACCTAGTTTGCATCTTGACCTCTTTCCTTTCCTCTTTCCTCCTCCTGTCTCCTTTTATCCCTCTGCTTTTGTTTTATTCATTATCCCTGCGTCTCTCTTTTGAGGCAGAGTCCCACTCTGTAGCCCTGTCTAGCCTGGAACTACCTATGTAAACCAGGTTATCTTTGAACTTGAACGTCCTCCTGCCTCTGCTTCCTGAATGCCAGGACTACAGGCTTGTGCTCCCACCATGCCTGATTCATATGCTCACTTTCCAGCCACAAAACTGACTTAGAAGAACTGATAGACAGGGTTTAGTTAGCATGAGGTTATTGATTTGTTCAGAAGTTATTGAAATATTTGCTTCCCATGGACCTTGTGGAAACTGTTAGTTTGGAAGTTTTAAGTTGCTGGCGCTTTTTTCTTTGTTTGTTTATTTTTGGTGGATAGGGTCTCTTTGTGTAACCTTGGCTGGCCTGAAACTCATTATGTAGACCAGTCTGGCCTCGAATTCACAGAAATCTGTCTGCCTCTGCCTCTTGAGTGCTGGGCTTAAAGGTATTAGTCACCATGCTTGGCAGTCCTGGTACTTTTTGTCTTCGCTGTAAGTATCAAGTTGCATTTGTCTTTTAAAGAAAAATTGTTGTGTATTTTTGACACAATCAATACATATATACGAACTGGTTCCCAGCAGCAAGCATGGGAAATGGCCAGGGGTTGGGCTGTGTGTTGTTCTCAGTCTCCTGACTGCCTCATGTTGTTTCTTGTTTGTTAGGATTTTGAGGTAGGTGTTGACAGAGAGGAACTTCTCATGTCTTTTTCATTTCTTCTGAAGGGGCGTTTAGCATCGGCTGACACAGGTTCTTAAGTATCTGAGGCTCTTAGAACGCTTAACATGCTTTTTCTTTTCCCTCTGACAGTGGACTGTTTTTCAGTCTTATTAGTAAGATGTCTCAATCTGCTTGTTACTCTGAAGGAGCACAGTAGACTTGATGCTTCTGAGCAGAAAGGTGTAGTAAGCCAAGGTCAAGGTACAGGAAGGTCGGCTCTCTGGTGAAGGATTGTTCGACCTAATGGCCTTTTCACTGTTGTCCTTAGGGAAGAATGGCTGAGAGTTCTCTGGGTCCCTTTTACAGCTTCATAAATCCCATCCATGATGCTCTGTTTTCGTGAGTTAGTCACTCCCCAGAGTCTCTGTCTTCCAGGGCTCAGGACTCACCCCATGAATTTGGGGACATATAAGTAGCTCTTGTAACAGGATAATAATACTTTATGTGATCAGATAAAGTTCCATTTCCTTTCATCTTTTTTTTCTTCTCAGTTTTATTTATTTTTTTGGTGGTGGGGTGATTATTTAATTTATGAATGAGGATCTTGTGTTGTATCTTAGCTACCTGCTACTCTTTATATTCCAGCCCTGGGTGGCCCCAACTGCATAGTCCTGCCTCTCTCTCTCATGCTGGGGTTATAGGCCTCTGCCATCTTGCTTCTTCAGCCCATTTCCTTGAAGGCAAGGCTCTAATAAGATATCACTAAGAAAAATTATCTCTAGGGATGTTTTTTAGCCTAGGCTGGCCAAGGATAACCTTGAGTTTTTGGTCCTCTTACCTCTCCTTGTTCTTGTAATCCTTTCAGGGTTGGCTCTTTCCATTCAGCAGGTTCCCTGCAGATATTTTCAGGTGATTAGATTTACTAGCAGTTCATACTTCTCAGACAGCTAATGAGTGCTCTATTGTATTGTGGATATAACCTGTTACTGGGACCATTTACCTACTGCAGGACCTTAGGCTTGTTGTCAGGCTTTGTGAATAAAGCTGATAAAAATCTTAAGCCTCTGGGGGGAGAAGAACCGTATACCATTGGTCTTACTGGAAGTTTTAGCTGTTAAGATAAACTATGTGCTGTATAGAAGTTCCTTGAGTCACACACTCCATGTGCTTCTTTACTATACTTCAGGGACAAAGTCACTTGAAAATGATGTTTCCTTTCCTCTGGGGTTCCTTAGGCTGGATTCCGATGCCGAGGACATAGCACTTCCTCAGAAAGAAGACAGAATTTGCAAAAGAGACAAGACAATAAGCACTTAAACTCTGCTCAGTCTCACAGAAATGACCTAAATTCTGAGTCTTTATATTTTGAGGTAATTTTTTCAAAATCTGTTTATAAACTATTCTAAAAATGTCTTAATTAAGAAGTTAATTTGGTATGTTATTATGTGATAAATATTTCATTTTTGTATCTTCACATGTTACTCTGTTAGACTATAAATGACTTGACATACTGGCTCATTTTTAGTTATCTTGGTTGTGTTTATTATGTAAGCTAACATCCCCTTTATTAATGTCTGTTTTGAAGTTTTGTCATGTGTTCATTTTGACGTGGTATGTGGATGAGAAGCTGATTCTGTTGTCATTGGATATGTTTGTAAGGTTTTTCAGATTTGAGTAATTCAATCGAAATAATTCCTGCTCCCTTTCAGTAGAGTCTTAGAGAAAAAAGAAAAATGGCTGTTTTATTGGCTCTCCTAGAACGTACATCCTAATTCACTGTTTCTAGTGTTTGCTCAGCTAGCTAGTTCTTACTCCAGGCTGGGGCTTTACCAGAGAAACGCTTTGTGCTGGGAGGATGCAGACATGAACATACGCACATGGGATTGGCTGTGATTGGACTAGGAGATAGAACAAGCCCCTTGGGATGGATCTTAAAGAATAAGTTTGTTGTTTGTTATTGTTTCAAGCATTCCTGTTAATTCATCTGTGCAACTCACTTTGGTTAGAGCATAGATTTTTATAAAATAGATTAATAGAGGCATATTAAACTGGAATTCTTGAAGTTAGAGGACAAGGATTAGTATATTAACTAAGCTGAATAATGTCCCAAAGGAGTTGAGTGTGTCTGACCTACTCTCCCAGGAGTAGTTTTGCAGCCCCTGACTGGACAGGTAACTCACTGGCTTCATAAATGAAGAAGGTTCTAAGAAATGTGCCATTTGTTTTTATATTAACATCAGTTAAAATTTGGAAACCATGAGCCAGGTATGGTGGCTTAAACCTGTAATCCTAATTCTCCAGAGCTGAAATGGGAGGATTACTTTAAGCTGGAGATTAGCATGGGCTATAGTGTGAGACTGTGTCTCAAGAAAACAAAACAAAAATTAGGAAATTTAAATTCTTGTTTGATAATATTAGAATGAATGGTTTTCTGTTAATACTGAAATTGGACTGCTACTTTGGTAACAGTTCTTAGGAAGATAGCTGCATTCCCCCCCCTCCTTTTTTTTTTTTTTTTTTTTTTTAAGTGATAAGGTCTCTATAGCTCTGGCTGTCCTGGAACTCTATGTGTATGTAGATCAGGCTGGCTTTGAACTCACAAAGATCTACCTGCCTTTTCCTCCTGGGTGCTGGGATGATGGTGCGTGCCACTATGCCTACTTAGCTCAGTTTAAATGTGTTGGGGATTTTCTGAGGCTAGAACCCAGGGCTTTGTGCTTGCTGAGCGGCATTCTGCCACTGGCCGGTCCCATCAGCCCCTGTTGTTTTTTATTTATACAGATGATCTAAACTTAAAATGCTAGCTGGGTGTATTGGTGTGTCTTTAGGGAGACTGAGTTGGGGTTTTGTCTGAATCCCTGGGTTCAAGACCATGTTTGTTTGGTTCTTTGTTTACTGTGTGTGTGGTTCCTGTTTGTGGGCCTGTGGAAGGAAGCCTAGGGACACTCTTGGGTCTTGTTCCTCAGACACCATCCACCTTTTTTTTTTTTGACAAAAGGTCCCTCATTGGCCTGGAGCTCAGTGATCAAGCGAGGCCGGCTGGCCAATGAGCCTCATGGAGCTGCCTTTCTTCACGTCTCAGCACTGGGAGCTCAGTGCCTGCCACTGTGCAGCTCTTTTTACTTAGGTTCTGAGGATTGAATCAGCTCCTCATGCTTCCAGAGTTAGCACTTTCCCAAGCACGCCATCCCCCAGCTCCAAGAGCTTTTTGTCCCTCTCTTCTTAGGAATGAGGACTTTGTGCAGGGTTTTCATAAATCCTGGATTGACCAGTCTTCTGTCTTTACTTGTGGATTTTATACATGCTGAACATTTTTGTAACTGATAAAATGTTACTTCTATTCCTTCCCTTTAACAAAAGTTAATTCTAATCTCAGAAGAAAAATAGTTTAACTATAAATATGACAATTTTATTATTGGCTCACTTGTATGATTGTTTCCATACAATCAGAAGGATAGTGACTAAGAAATTAATTTGAATAAAAACATTAAAAAATATTTTAAACATTCTTCAAATTATATGTAATAGGGAATGGAATAAATTTTAAAAACGAATACTAAACTATTTAAATCTTCTCCAAATTATCTGAATGTGATAAATCCAGTTTGAATTCTTTTCAGTTACCTATCTGTGTTAGGATAGAATTAGTATAAAAAAGTGAAAAAGTGGTTACAGAAATCTAAAGGATGGATGGATGTGGATATGACTTCATGCTTGAATAAAAAATAGGTTTAGCATGGGAGAAATAAAATTTCCTCTTTAAGGCTGATTTAAAATAGTTCCACAGTAGGATACAAATATACCTTATTTTCTTACCTTTCAGAACTGTCAAACAGTATAGAAAGTTTCAATGCTGGGGAGGTTGCTCATTGGTAGAGTAGCTACCTAGCATAAGTAAGGCTCTGGGTTTGATGCCCAGCAAACACACATGTTCATATGCACGAGCACATACATGAACACACACACACACACACACACACACACACACACACACACACACACACACACACACGGATGCACCCGTGTGGTGATATTTTGTTGTACCTTAATAAAATTTGCCCGAAGATCAGAGGACAGAACAAGCCACTAGATTACTTAGAGGCCAGGCAGTGATGGCACACACCTCTAATCCTAGCACTCGGGAGGCAGAGATCCATCTGGATCTCTGTAAGTTCAAAGCCACTCTGGAATACATGAGCTTGATTCAGTCTAGGAGAGAAACAGAGCCAGGCAGTGGTGGCACACACCTTTAATTCCAGTGCTTGGGAAATCTCAGCACTAAGAAGGAAGTGATATGGCAGGGCGGAGAAAGGACTATAAGGTGTGAGGAGACAGGAATGAAAGCCTTTTGGCTGAGGACTTAGGCATTCAGTCTGAGGATTTGTGGAGACAGGATCTCGCCTTCCATTTGGCCCGAGGATTTGGTAGTGGTGAGAAGTTTCTCTAGTGGCTTGTTCCTTTGTCTCTCTGATCTTTCAGCATTTACCCCAACATCTGGCTCTGGGTTTTTATTAAAAGACCATTTAGGATTTGAGTTACATACTCCCTCACCCACACGTACTGAGTACACCCCCCTCATGCAGATCTGTACACATGCACGTCCGTACGCACACAACACACACAGGTGTACATGCACCTCCCTACCCACACACACTGAGCACACCCACACTGCAGGTATACACATCCATACACACACACACACACACACACACACACACACACACACACACACACACACACACCAAGCACACACCCCCCACAGACATACAGGCGTGGACACACCCCCTCATACACCCTTGTGTAGCATTAGTCCTGAACATTTTCACTGACATCAGGGAAACTATTTCAGGATGAAGATGGGTTTCAAGAACTAAGTGAGAATGGAAATTCTAAAGATGAGAATATTCAACAGAAACTGCCTTCAAAAGTAGTAAGTAACTTCTTTCAAAATTATAAGAAAAGTAGCACACCTTTTGAACTCGGCTATGTGGAAAGAAGTCTTGAGGTTGGTATAAAGGACATAGGGGCAGCATGGTGTGTGCGGATAATATGTGTACTGCTTACTTTCACACTTGAAAATTGTTACCACAGTTGTACTTCCTTTTAGGTGTGTGTGTGGTGGGTGGGTGCACGGTGTGCTTGAGGAGGACAGAGGACAACTTGCAGGCGTTGGCTCTCTGTCCATGTATGTCACAGGGGACCCAGGTTTTTAGTTTGGGCAGCAGACTCCTGTACCTACTGAGCCTTAATGTTTCTTTTCCTAAACAAAAATAGTTTCTAGGAAACCTGCAGTTCTGTCACTAGATGAGACAACATTAAGAACTGTCATACAATGTGCAGTCTATGTGGAAATTTCCCCAGACAAGCACCCCCTGTTATATCCAGGTTCCGTCCTTTCATCTCCCGTTCTAAACTGGTCTTTCCTCTCACCCTGTTCTTAATGGCCCCCAGTCCTCCGAGTTTCCTCCTCTGTCCTGCAGAAGCTGCCTCAGTCTGCGTTGTCGTTCCTTATGGTCTGACATCTGTGACATGACTAACAGCCGTGTCTCTTCTCCTGTGTCATAGTTGGATGACTTACCTGAAAACTCACCCATCAATATAGTTCAGACTCCAATTCCCATTACCACTTCGGTTCCTAAACGAGCCAAGAGTCAAAAGAAGAAAGCATTAGCTGCAGCCCTTGCCACAGCACAAGAATACTCAGAAATAAGTATGGAGCAAAAAAAACTGCAGGTATGTAGTCGTTTTCTGCAGTTACGATTGTCTGCTGCCTTGGTGGGATGGACAGGAACGCCAAGTAGAACTATAATTTGTCATTCTTTCCTAGTCAGAAACAATGAATCCTTTCTTATCCACCTTTTAGGAAGCTTTATCAAAAGCAGCTGGAAAGAAGAATAAGACCCCTGTGCAGCTAGATTTAGGGGACATGCTAGCTGCTCTGGAGAAGCAACAGCAAGCCATGAAAGCTCGCCAGATCACCAACACCAGACCGCTCGCGTATCCAGGTGACTCCTCAGTGTGGGCAGTTCGCTGCAGCCTTGGAGGGGAGAGCTGTGTAGTCTTTCTCTTTCTCCCTCCCCCCCCCCCCCCCCTCGTGCCACGGGCATGCGTGTTGCTGTCAGAGGACAGCTTTCAGGAAACTGTCTCTTCCACCATGGCTTCGGAGGATCAGGCGAACTCAGGTCAGCAGGACGGTAGTACAGACACTTCTCTGCTGAGCCTTCTGTCCTGGCCCCATCCTCATTGTTTGTTTGTTTGTTTGTTTTGTTGTTGTTTTTCTTCTCCAAAGGTTAAAATAAAAAAAAAATCCCAGGGTAGTTTGGCCCTGTTAACTCTGAAAGTATCCGATTAAATGACAAATGGTGATAGTTTCGTGCGTGTGAACAAGACAGTGATCTGGCTTCCCACTGAAGCTGTTCCTGTTTTAACAACCTTGTCAGGTTTAGAGCCAGCGGTTGATCATCTTCCTTTCCTTTTAGAGGGATAGGGATAGCACAAAGGTGGGCCGGGTACCAGTGAAAAGGACGAATGCTGAGAAGCAGAATTTTCTGTCTGCTCTGTTCCAGATTGTCCCAGTTCCAGACTGTTGCTGAATAGGTAAAAAGAAAAGACCGTGTGGCTGTGTCTGGGTGCAGAGTGCTGCAGTCTGTAGCTCTCCACTCATTTAGTGGACCCCTTTGCTTGAGGAAGGCAGAGGTGATAATGCATAGAGTTGCATGCTGCTGAGATGGGAGAGTGGCTGGATACAGTGGAGGAGGTGGCCTTTCAGCTCACTTCTGGGGCTGGAGTCAAGCTGCTGAGATTGGACTCCTGATCTTTGATTTGTTGTTTTAGAAAGGTGTTTATCTTCCTGTACTTCAATTTGTTACATTAAAATGGAGTAGTGATGGTCCCTACTTCAAGGTTGTTTGGGGAATAAATGAGCTGATAGATGTAAAGTGCTTAGAAAATCTCAGTAAACTAATGAGTATTACAGAGAACTGTGACCATTACAACTTCGTTGGAATTTTTGTTGTTGCTGTTGCTATTTTTGGTTTTGAAATAGGGCTGAAGTAATTCCTCTGCCTTAGCTTCCCAAATGCTGAAACTACTGGTGTGAGCCACCGTACCCAGCCATTTGTCATTGTAACCATTTATTTTTCTTTAGTTGCTGAGAACTAAACTTTGTCTAGCCAAGGGCCTTGTGCTTGGCTAGACAAACACTTTACCATTGAACTGAACCTCTAACCACCGAATTTTTTTTTTTTTCCTAGGCTGGGGCTTAAACCTAAGGTCTTATGCATACCAGGCAAGTGCTCTTCCACTGACCTGTATCTTCAGCTCTACAACTTTGGTTGATTTAATAAATGTTATGTTAAGAGCTGGAGATGTGGCTCAGCAGTTAAGAGCACTGGCTGCTTTTCCAGAGGACCTGAGTTCACTTCCCAGCAACTGCTTGGTGGCTCACAACCATCTATAGTGGGATCTGATGCCCTCTTCTGGCATAAAGTCATACACACAGATAGAATGCTCACATACATAAAATAAATAAATACGTTAAAAATGTTCTGTTAAACAACTCTGAATATCTGTGCTTAGAACGTGCTGTCTGGAGCAGTTGGGGTTATGGAGGTGGTGAGGCTAGACCACTCAAGAAACTCACAGCTGACTCTGCTCTGAGGTGGCTCAGCAGTAGGTGCTTACCGTTCTTGCTGCAGAGGACCTGGGCTCAATTCTCAGCTCTCAAGTAGCAGCTCACAGCCGTTCATAACTGTAGATCCAGGGGATCCAGTGCACTCTCACATAGACACCAAGCATCTGCATGGTACACATCCATTCCTCCAGGCAAAATATTCATATACATAAAATAAATCTTTAAACAAGTTTATAGTCTAGTCAAAAAAAGAATGAGATGATAGGAGTGAACATTTGTAAGGAATTGATGGAGCATGGAACAGCAGGATGTAGAATAGGTCCAAGACAACTCCAGGGTGTTGCAGAGATGACTTCATCAGTAAAGGGCTTGCCATGTGAGCATGGGACCTGAGTGTGGATCTCTAGTACCAAATAAAGCCAGGCACGGATGGCAGTGTGCACCTGGGATCCCAGACCGGCAGATCCCTGAAGCTCATTAGCCAGCTCGTGTAGCTGAATTGGTGAGCTATAGGTTCGGTGAGAGACCATGTCTCATCAGCTAGGGTTGAGAGTGATTGGGACAACACATAGCACCAACGTCTGGCCTTCACATGGATATGCACACAGGTGCAGGTGCGCCCTCACCCACACAACACCCACATGTGCTCTCTAGCTTAGTGAAGAGGGCTGTGAGGATGCCACAGTGACATAAGGAGAGTTGACAGTGGCCTTGGACTTGAAATGCTAGCAGTCGAGGCCCTGGTGACCTCATTTGTCATGTGTATATGCATGTGTAGTTCAGGCTAGAAGTCAGTGCATTTAAAATGAGGGGAAAGCCCATGGAGTGACCAGGTTTCAGGGATAGGAGGAAGAAGAGCCACACATATAAATTGAATGAATGAATGGTGTTCTGGGAAGAATTTTTGAAGATTGGGAAATTGTATTTGGCAATTGCAAGGTGGTTCTGTTGGGTCTTTTTTTTTTTTTTTTTTTTTTTTCCTCGGTGGCGGCAAGGGGGACAGGGGACAGGGGCGTTGAGACAGAATTTCTCTGTATAGTCCTGGCTGTCCTGGAACTCAATCTGTAGACCATGCTGGCCTTGAACTCAGACATCTGCCTTCCTCTGCCTCCTGAGTTCTGGGGTTAAAGGTGTGCATCACCAACACCTGGCTTCTGTTGGGTCTTGACAGTAACACTTTCAATAGCGTGAGTATGGCCGAGACCAGATGGCAGTGGTTTGGAAAGGAATGATGTCAGAATGATGCGAGACATTTAACTGGGGGAGAGTGGGCAGTAAGAGTACCTTAGGCTGAAGGCAAGCCAGGTAAGGGAGCAGGCTCTGTGTGTTTGCCTCCCAGTCCCTCTTTTCTTATAGATAGAAGGGGGTGGCTCAGAGAAAAGAGATTGGGGTGGAAGAAGTGCATGTGAAAAGGAACAGCACAAGGTCCCAGAGGAACTAAGATGACGATGTTAAGTTCATTCGTGGGCCTTGGACGGTTGTAAGGATATCTTCTGTCTCCTCCTTTTGGATGTTTTTGTAACTTAGGCAGTGTCTTCTCAAAGTGACAGGAACATTCTGCTAGAGTGGAGGGGTTGAGATTGGAGACTTAGAAATATTAAAAGATCAAGGGTAAAGCGTGAAGGTGTGAGCAGGGGTGTAACAGGTGCTGGGTAGCACCGAGAGTGGGTGCGAGTCAGCTTTCCTTCCTGACGCTCAACTGAAGGGGAGCCGTAGGCTGCAGAAGTATTTAAAATGAGCTGAGTAGCTGGCTCTGTAGGCGTGAGGAGAACCCCAGAGGTAGGCCGTTGGGACCGGAGGTCAGTTGCTGCAGTTGAGTTGAACTAACAGTCCAGGCTTACTTTCAGAGCTCTCAGTCAGCTAACTGCATTGGCTTACCTTCCTCATCTTAGGGAGGTCAGAGACTTGGAAAGAAGGTGTGTCTGAGGGACTCTGCTGAGCCTGTTACTACGACATATTTTTTAGCCTTTTCCACTGGAAGAGAAGGCTTGTGTTTTTTGAAGATTGACTGTTGGAATTGTCAAGAGTGTGGATTTGGCTGCAGTGGTAAAACTAACGTTTTTGTTTGTTTGCAGTCGCCGCCGCCGCCGCAGCTGCCTTCCACACTAAAGACACTGCTAACAGAAAGCCTTTAACCAAAAGCCAGCCCTGCTTGACGTCCTGCAACTCTCTGGACGTGACTTCCTCTAAAGCGAAGAGAGGGAAAGAGAAGGAAATGGCAAAGCTAAAACGGCCCACAGCGCTCAAAAAGGTAACCCCATCTGGAAATGCTTCTTTTATAGGATAATTAAGGGTTTCCTTTTCATTTCTTTGCAAAATCAGTGGTGTTTTAGGAAGCAGATGTTGTAATATATTTATCCACATGGCTATGTGTGACTGATTAATTCAAAACCAGCATTATATGTAAGAAGGCCCTACAAAGTGAATTTTTTCTATAAGGGTTAGAAAATAAGCAGCTAGACATTTCATATCCCCAAACATTAAACTCCTTAGGAATCAGAAGTCCAGATCTTTCCTTCCTTTGCATGTTTTTCTCTTATGTATATATGTGTGTGCATGCATATGTGGGCATGCTTGTGTGGCGGCCTAAGGTTCATGTCCCAGTTTTCTCGATTGCTCTTGACCCTGTTCTTCCCTATTCTTTAAGGAAGGGTCTCTTAGTTGAACCCAGAGCTCACCAATATGGTTGGTTTGGCCAGCCAGCTTGCTTCAAGAGTCACATGTCAGCCTTCTGGGCCCTGATTCATGGGTGGTCTGCCACACCCACCTGGCATCTTTGTGTGTTTGGAGATCCAGACTTCAGCTGTTACTGTACAGCAAGCGCTTTGACCACTGAGCCGTCTCCACAGCCATGCCTCCCCTTTCTTTTCTCTCTTCCCTCCTCTCCTGGCCAGCCTTCCCTCCCCTCCACCTCTTCTTCTCCTTCTTGTCTCCTCGGTTCAGTGCTGGAGATCTGACCCGAGGCTTCACACATCTGAGACAGGCACTCTGCCTCCTCGCTAGCTGGCCCTGGACCTCAGTAACTTCAGGGTTTGCTCTGCGTGTAGTAGAGCAACTTCAGGCCCACTTTTTCACTTCCATCTTTCTTCCCTATAAATGGATGGTAGTATCTGCTTTGGTTTAGTATTAGAGGGTCAGTGAGGCAATTCATGCCTGAATAGATGAAAACTGTAGAGTGTAAGTCACGTGAACTGTATGAGTTCCAAACTTACAGTTTGGATTTCCAAACTTACAGTCACTGTTTGGGAAATCCTACTTGGTCGCCTAGGAGTTCCAGATTGAGGCTGATGTGGCGTGTTTGTGTGTTCTCAGCACCCTGCTCCCCTTTATTTGAAGTGTGTCTGGCTGTGCACCCTCAACACACTCTCCCTGTATTCTCTGTGCAGCATTCCCTTCCACTTCCAGTGTCTGACATACCAGTCACATTTGTACAGGTCAGCTTTTGTGCAGCGGGGTAATGCAGCCCACTGAGCTCCTCAGGGCTGTGCCTGTGTTTAGTGTGACATCGTAGTAGCTTGTACCTAGCTGAAGAATGAGCGGTAATTGAAGAACTGTGCAATGGATTTCAGGTTATTTTGAAAGAAAGAGAGGAGAAGAAGGGACGTCTGATTGTGGAACACAGTGTTTTGGGAGCTGAGGAGCCAACAGAAACGCATTTGGACCTCACCAGTGACTTGCCTCAGGAGACTGTCTCCCAGGAAGGTAAGGGCACCTCTCTGCCATAGCTGTCTGCAGTGTTGCCACGGAGAGGAAGCCTTGCTGGCTGTGCCTCAAGCAGAAGTTGCACACTGTATTTTATGTACATGGATTTGCATGGGGTTTTTTGAAGACAGATGGCTGAGAGGGTAGACAGGTGTTACATATCTGATCTCTGACATTTTGGAGGCCAGATCCATCATTTGTGGTAACATCTCAAACATTAGGATCTTCCCAGTGCCTGGGACTCCTGGGATTATCATAAGACCTCTCGTTCATCATCTTTTACATAGGGAACACTATTTACCAGTTGTTTTCTTTATAGGAATGTTTTTCAAATCATTTTTTATTGTTTTCCTTTTTTGCTTTGGGGGAATTAATACATAAGGCACAAGGAATAGAGAATTGCAAAGCAGAGCAAAGATTCTATTCATACCCAGGACATGTAGTTCCAGCAGATAGATTCTGTCTGGTACAGTAAGTAGCCACACAGCGTTTTGCAGCAGGGTAAATCTGATTTGCACAGAAGTCAAGCAGGAGTTTCTCAGTACTTTCAGATAAGTTTATTCATTTATCTAGGATGTGCTTGGCTTGGGTTCCCCTTTATTCTCAGTATGATTCCCCTTAGATTTATGTGTGCGCATTCATCCATTCATCCCGTTGATTTTGATTAATAGATACAAAAGGTCTTCAGTGAGTTGTAGAGGGAAGAGACAGGAAAACAGAATGATCAAAGGCTGATAATCTGGTAAACAGATAGGATTAATGTGTGACTTTGTTAATTATTAGATTTAATATACAAATTCAGTTCTTGAATTTACCTGTTGAAGAGAAGCAGTAACTTAGTAAGAATTGATGGAGTTGATAGTTTGCATCTAAAAGTGTTGCTGCCAAAGCACAGAAGCAAAGGCCAGATAAGTAGGTGGGGAAGAGGAGAGTCAGGAGAGGTGTCAGGAGGGTGAGCAGGTCAGGAGATGGTAAGCAGGTGTGGGGCCTGGAGAGTTGGGGAGGGTGAGCAGGTGTGGGGCCTGGAGAGTTGGGGAAGGTGAGCAGGTGTGGGGCCTGGAGAGTCAGGAGAGAATGAGTGACATGGGTTGTCATTGCCACTACCAGATAGAATTAGAAAGATTTAAGAAACAGATGGCCAGATAGAGATGTGTAATAATGCTATGCAGAAAGGTACAGGTCTCTGGGCAGCTGTGTCCTAGATAAGTTTGCTTCCCCATCTCCTCTGTGGAAACTTCTAAGTTGTGCTTGGTTTTCCTTGGGTATGATAGTATCTCAACTTCATTCTTTTAGTTTGTAAGGAATAATGATTTGTGATAGAAAAATACGTAACTTACTTACTCCAGAGAATTAGGGTATGACCCGAATTAGGGTATGTCTACCATCTAAGTTGTCTGTCCGCCTGGGGCTTCTTAGCGTTTGAAGTTGTCAGGTGCTTCCCTTTCACCTCTCATCTCCAGATACTGGACTGAGCATGCCCAGTGATGCTTCATTGTCTCCAGCAAGTCAGAACTCTCCGTACTGTATGACACCTGTGTCGCAAGGCTCTCCTGCCAGTTCTGGCATAGGCAGCCCGATGGCATCGTCAACGATAACCAAAATCCACAGCAAAAGATTTCGAGAGTAAGTTTTTTGTTTTTTTCTCTCAATACTGAGGTCAAACAGTTGAAGGATCTTGGTTGTTCTGAATTTGTATCCTTGTTACCTAGTAAGCAGAGCAAGGTGGAATGCAGGGGTTGGGCTGCTCTTCTCTTGTTTAACAGGGTTTGGGTCTATTTAAAGCAGTTCTGATGTCAGCATCCATGGAATGGGATTTCACAGTAGTAGGTTTTCTTTATCACGTACGGTGTTTCTATCCCAGAATCCTGGCCTCTTACATCAGATGTATATTATAAATGCGTGTTATGTATATGTGCATATAGAATGTAATGTACCGTGGGTTTTGCCCCTTCAAGTACTTTTGGGGTTGGGTTGTGTTTTTTTTTTTTTTTTTTTTTTTTTTTGCATATAATACAGGTACTTTGAAAAGCTTGCTAATCAGTTAATAACATATAATAGGGTTCTTCTCTAAGACCCTGAGTCTGTCACATAAAGCCATGTCATTTTGTTCCTGTTTGTTTTCATTTTGTGCTAGAGATTGAATTCAGGGCCTCTTGCTTCCTGGTCAAGTGTTTGACCACTGAGCAACACAGTCAACCCAAGCTCTTGCTTGTAAGCAAATATGTCTAGGTTTAAGAATTAGGATAATTAGGGAATCACTAATCTTAACTGCTGTGACGTATTTTAGTGTTTGTGTGGATGAAGTGGTTTTACCTTTAAAAATGACTTCTGAAGGAATCCTGGAGTGAGAGTCAGTGTGGTCTGGCAGCCTCTGCCCTGTTCTGCTCGCTCCTCAGCTCTAGCGTTTGAGCAGAAGCCTCTCTTCAGGCTCTGAGCAGCTAATTATATGTCAGGCAGCAGATGTGGAGCAAATGAAACACATGGAGAATAAATTACATATGTATGAAACGAACAGCTTGAAACAGGAAAGAAAATGTAGTTGGATGTTGAATCCTTTGAGTGTTTATGATGGTTAATCTTTCCTCACTCCATCCATTTCTATCTTCTGAAATTGTGTCCTACTTGCTTAAACATTTTCATATAAAATGTGACATTCCCTGGACATGTCTTCCACCGTATGACGTAGACTACCTGCCTCTGGTGGAGGTGAGATAAGAGTTAGGATGGTCGATGGTCCACAAGTAAACTTGGATGACTTCCTCACCCTGCAGTTAAGTGCACAGCGACCACACACTTTGTTTTTCTGATAGAGCCGACATGTTCAGATGACCTCTGATTGCTCTGTTGGATGTAAAAGCCTGTGACTTTTACCCCAAGGCCTCAGTTTACCTATTGAGTTCATCATCCATAACCATAGGTTTTCAGAACCTCTAACTAAACTTATTTTCGTTATTGGAAAGGCTTTCATGGTTGAGACTTATCCAGGCTCAAAGGATGAAGTGTTTTTAGGTTTTTTGGCATGTTTTATAACATTTTTTCTTTTAGCAAAAGGTTTATTGGGTATACTGTAAGGACCAATGGGCTATGCAGTAACAAGAACTGTCCACCGCCTTGATTTTTTTCTTTAATGTAGCCCGTGAAGGGGTGAGTTTCATTATGGCATGTTCATACCTAGGTATCATTATGCTTTGTGCTCATTCATGACCTCCTCCAGCTGCCTCCCTTTCCTATGTCCCACCTTACACTGCTTCACTTTCTGGTCCCAGATAGTCCTCTTCTCACATCACTACATTCCATTACCTTAGCTGGGTGTGATGGCGCACGCTTTTAATCCCAGCACTTCAGAGGCGGAGGCAGATCTCTGTGAGTTCCAGGCCTGCCTGGTATGCATAGTGAGTTCCAGGACAGCCAGGTCTACGTGGTTGACCTGTCTTCAAAAACAAAAACAAACATTTCATTACCTTCTGTTTTCCTCCCTCTTCGATCCTTTTCTACTTTCATGACTTGTACTCCGGTGTGCGCCTGTGCACACACACAAACTTAAATCTAAATTCTACATAAGAGAAAGCATGCAGTGTTTGTCTGAATCTGTTACTTTACTTAGCATAATGATTGCTAGTTCCATCTGTTTTCTTGCAAATGTCTTGATTTTATTTTTCTAGGCAGCTGAATAAAATTCCAGTATATATTAATAAATTTCTATCAATTTCATTTAGCCATTCGTGTTAGAAAGCATCTAGGCTGGTTCCATTTCTTAACTGATAGGATAGTATGGCGATAACATGGGTACACATTGATCTCTTTGCTCTGGTAACTTGGAGTTCTTCAGGTTTACACCCAGGAATGGGATAGCCGAGCCCTGTGTGTGGCAGCTCCGATTTCCATGGTGCTGCACCAGTTCCCACTGTCAGCAGTGTTGGGACTCCTCTTCTCCTAAGCGGATGATTGTTACTAAGAAATTCAGAGAAGCGCATTGCTTTCCTACTAGAGGCACCGCTAGTGTTTATCACAGGGACATAAAAACTGTGACCGCTCAGAAAGCCAGCATTCGGTTTGTATCGTTAGGAAGTTAGTAATTAGGAGCTCGGTAGTACTTCCCTGAGGCAGCCTGTCCTGGACTAAAAGCTCCTTAGTTGAAATTCACAAGCAAAGATAATCAGTATTTCTGTTTTTCTGATTGACGTGTTTAGAAATTGTACAGACTGATGACTTTTTATAAAAATGCCATGTTGGATGTATTCTCCCTCAAAGATATTTCCTAATGTAAGTCTGTAATTACAGGAAATGAATTAGGATGGAATGACCTGGTTCTTTGCTTCCTTGCCAGATATTGTAATCAGGTTCTCTCTAAAGAAATCGATGAATGTGTGACCCTCCTTCTGCAAGAGCTTGTCAGTTTCCAGGAGCGCATCTACCAGAAGGACCCCGTGAGAGCCAAAGCCAGGCGGCGGCTGGTCATGGGGCTGAGGGAGGTCACCAAGCACATGAAGCTGAACAAGATCAAGTGTGTCATCATTTCCCCAAACTGTGAGAAGATCCAGTCAAAGGGTATGTACACTTGCTGCAGAAATGTTTATCATTTCTTCGTTAGCATTGTAGGGAATTGAAACAAGCCCTGCAGCCGGGAACATGTCTGTCTGTACAATACAGTTATGGAATAAATGTTGAGCACGAGAAGTCTTCCAATACCTAAACTTAAGTAGGTGTGATTAAGACAGGATTCTAAAGGGAATCCTTATGTGTGAACGGTGGTTAAGTATGTATGTTGAGCCCCCAAGTGTCTGTCTCCTTACTGTGACCAAACCAGAAGTAGTCAGGTGCATCACTTTGCATCTGTAGGTTCTTCTCTGAAAACTTTACATAACCTTTCTTTAATGATTTTTCCTCTTTAAAAACAATTAGAAAAAGCTGGGCAGTAGAAGCACATGCCTTTAAACCTAAAACTGGAGAGGCAGAGGCAGTCAGATCTCTGTGAGTTTAAGGCCAGCCAGGTCTACAAAGCAAATTCCAGGACAGCCAGAGCTACACTGAGAAACTCTGTCTCAAATAAATAAATAAATAAATAAATAAGTAAATAAATAAATACAGAAAAAAGGTAAAGATATCAACTTCTGCTTATGGTGGAGATTTGTCTCCTAGAAACCAGTGGTTACATAGTATCTGAGGGAGGGTTTTTATTGCTGTGATAAAACACCATAGCCAAAATCAGCCTGAGGAGGAAAGGGTTCGTTTCACCTTACATCTTATAATTCATCATTCGGGGAAGTCAGGACAAGAACTCAAGGCAGGAGGCTGGAGACGGGTGCTGATGCAGATGCCATGAAGGAGTGCTGCTTACTGGCTTGCTCCTCCCCATGCTTTCCTTAGCCTTACCTTCTTAGAGAACCCAGGACCACCAGCACAGGGATGTCCTCACCCAGTGTGCTGAGCCCTCCCACATGAATCACTAATTAAGAGCGTGCGCATTGGCTTACCCAGAGACATTTTCTTAATTGGGGTTCCCTCTTGTCAAATGACTCTGGCTTGTGTCAAGTTGACATAAAGCTATCCAGCACACACAGAAAGGCTCTTGGTGAGCTAGCACGTGAGTACATCACCTGGTATGCAGCCCTGCTTGACGTGGTGGTGGAGCAGGCAGATTGAGGCGTCAGTAGCAGTGGTAGACTTTGTACAGAGAAAACACCAATGCCACCTTGTTCATCTGTCTCCCTAAATATGGGCAGTTGTTCCTGGAGCTTAGACTGTGAAAAAAAGAATTATCTCCTATTAACCATTTCAACTAATCTTTCCATAATAAATGTTTGTTGCATTGAAACTTGATTCCTGCTCTACTAACCCTTCTAGATAGGGAAAATAAAATACTGGGTTTGAAGGAATTTGGGATTTAATTTTGAAGAAAGACAGTGTGTGTGTGTGTGTGTGTGTGTGTGTGTGTGTGTGTGTGTGTGTGTGTGTGTGTGTTACAGTTCAAGTAAGACATTGCTTTGCTGCAGTATTCTGTTTTTTAGCCTGGTTAGCTCCGACGTGAAGGTGATTGAATGGATGCCTCTCCACGTTGATTTCCTTAGGTGGCCTGGATGAGGCCCTCTACAATGTCATAGCCATGGCCCGGGAACAGGAGATTCCTTTTGTGTTTGCCCTTGGAAGGAAAGCTTTGGGACGCTGTGTGAACAAGCTGGTTCCTGTTAGTGTTGTGGGAATCTTCAACTATTTCGGTGCTGAGGTAAGAAATTAGGAGACAGGATCAGGGAGGTGGTTCAGTCAGTAAATGACCTTCAGTCTGATCCCTGGCACCCGCCTCAAGCCAGGCAAAGTGGTGCACACTTGTCCTCACAGCCTTGGGGAGCCAGAGACAAGGGTCTCTGGGGCCAGTGAGAGAGCCAGTCTAGTAGACGAGATGACTGGCCCTGAGGACACTCCTGCCATTGGCCTGTAGTGTGCATGCGCATAAACACACACACACACACACACACACACACACACACACACACACACACACACACACACACACTTGGGAGGCATACTCTCTTTCTCCGTCCTGTTAACACATGCTAAGAGTGAGTTAGTGACTCAGAGGAGTGGACCAGAGCTTCTTTCTTCAATATTTTCTTCTCCTCCCTTATAGCCTTTAGTTTCTAACTGTTTCTGTCTGTCCTGCTTATAACACCTATTTTAATATCAAAACCATAAATCTTCATGCCTATTTTTTTAGTGGTTTCATTTAAATGCGTGGTTTGTTACACACTACAAATAACACTTGTCATTATTAGTGGTCCATGAAGGGGCTGCTTTTAAACATTCTTCTTCCTCTATAAGAGCAAATAGTAAGCATGTGTTTGGTGGCTGGCTGCAGCATTTCCTGCCCTAGAAGTCAGCACAGTTCTGGCCCTCTGAGCAGCCCAGGGGCACTTTCTGCCATGCTCTGATCCCGACGTCATGGCCGTACCTCGATGAGAATGAAGAAAGCCTGTTGGACTTCTCCCTGTAACACGAATTCCTTTTAATAAAAACCCAGAACCAGATATTGGGGTGAAAGCTGAAAGATCAGAGAAGCAGAGCAAGCCACAGCCACCACCTCTTACCTCACCAACTCCTCAGCCTGAAAGAGCCGTAGTTCCTGTCTCCTCACGCCTTATATACCTTTCTCGGCCTACCATATTACTTACTTCCTATTGCTGGGATTGAAGGCATGTGACTTCCCACATACTGGGATTAAAGGTGTGAGATCTCAAGTACTGGAATTAAAGGTGTGTGTCACCACTGCCTGGTTCTGTTTTTCTCCTAGACTGAGTCAATCTCATGTAGTCCAGGATGACTTTGAACTCATAGAGATCCAGATGGATCTCTGCCTCCCAAGTGCTTAGGATTAAAGGCGTGTGCCACCACTGCCTTGCTTCTGTGTTTAATCTAGTGTCTTGTTCTGTCCTCTGATCTTCAGGCAAATTTTATTTAATACACAATATATTACCACATTTCCAATTGTCTTAAAATACAGTTTTATATATAAAATTCAACATATTCTGTATCAAGCCATGTTTAGAGTCTCTTACTAAACAGGACATTAAAACATTTGCCAGGAATGCCAGGCATAGTGGTGCACACCTTTAATCCCAGTGCTTGGGAGGCAGAGGCAGGCGATCTCTGTGAGTTTCAGGACAGCTGGAGCTACATAGTGAAACCCTGTCTCAAAAAAACAAAACAAAGCCTAGCAATTACAAAAACCATTTCCTGGGCATGAGGTCTTTTTGAATGATGCTCTGGGAAGCACTAGGCTTTGTCGTAGGGGTCGTCTCTTTCGGTGCCTGAGAATGTCATGAGACAGAGCTATTGAAGTGCGGCTGCAGTGCTCTGTAAATACTGCCATTTTATTAAACATAGGACTGCCCCCATTTCCACTCCATTTCACTTCGGGTATCTATCTCATTCATACTGATTTTGTTCTACTGAGGGAGGAGGTTTAGGTTACTCTATTTCCAGGCTCTGTATTCTGTTTTTATAATTTGCCCTTGGCTTGGTAATCATGTTATATTTTAACCATTGTCAGGCCCTAACCATCTATACAAATTAACTTCCTTTTAGCCTCTTTTCAGTTCTTCCCACAAGTGAGCATTGCAGAAAGGTTGGGGTTTTTGTTTGTTTTTTTTGTTTTGTTTGGTGGGTGAAAATAGGGTCTCACTATATAGTTCTGGCAGGCCTGGAATTCACAGAGCTCTGCCTGCCTCTGCCTGGATTAAAGGTATCTATCTGTCAGCACACTTGGCTAGAGGACTTTAAATTCGCTTGGAAACTGCCATCTTCTCTACCCCTGACCACCTCCCTCCACATGCTCATTCCCTCATGTTCTAACCCAAGTAAGACCATCCCTGCCCCAAACCAGCCCTGTGTTTCTCTGCGTCTCCCTTAGTTGTGTTCACAGACTCAGCTAGTCCAAACTGCCCTCCCCTCCCTCACAGAACTGTACCTGTTTTGAGTTCCTCAGTGATGCCCACAGTCAGATGTAATGTCTTCTTTAAAAGCTACAGTGTTGTTAATTGGTTGGTGTTGTTTTGTTTTGTAAAACAAAAAGTTCCAAACCTCTGCAGGTGCCAGTCATACACAAGTTTCTGTAAGAGGAGAGTTGATGCCTGCCGGTCTTACTCTGTGTAGTGAGTGCCGACTCAGGGGGGGGTTGCTGAACCTTTGAAATGTATTGCATTTAGAAGCTACTGTTAGAGTCACCTGTCTCAACCCTGTGAGTATTCATAAGCCACGTGTGTGTTAGGTGCATTTTGTAAGGTTCTGTGGTTTACTAACTGTCCAAATTTCATCAGGACTAAAAATGTAAAAAACTTAATAAAAAAAATGACTGGTCACAGAGGAACCTCTGTCTCTTTAGAGCCTGTTTAATAGACTGGTGGAGCTCACCGAGGAAGCCAGGAAGGCCTATAAGGACATGGTTGCTGCAACAGAGCAGGAGCAAGCGGAGGAAGCCCTGAAGAGCGTGAAGACGGTGCCTCACCACATGGGCCACTCCCGGAACCCCTCTGCGGCCAGCGCCATTTCTTTCTGCAGCGTTATTTCTGAGCCCATTTCCGAAGTGAATGAAAAGGAGTATGGTAAGATGTCCCATGCTGTTTTAAGTGAAATAATTAAGTGGCCCAAACCACTTTGTATATAGTCTTCCATTGTATTTCTTGTTTGTTTTTATCCTTTTTTTTTTAAAGTCTGGCCTTGAACTCACTGTGTGGATAAGGGTGACCTTGAACTTCAGATACCTCCCACCCCCCAACCCCATCTTTATCTCCCAAGTTCTCAGATTGCTGGTGTGTTCTACCACACACAGTTCATAAAACACTGGGGAGCAAGCCGAGAACTCCATGCAAACTAAGCAAGAACTCCATCAACTGAGCCACATCTCCAGCCCATGTATTCTTATTCTTGATTATTATTATTTGGCTTAAAATTTAGTTTAATAAAAGACACATAGAATAAATAAAAATAAAGTAAAAAAATCAGTTTAAACATTATTATTAAAAATAGAATATTTGGCTGGGCATGGTAGCACACGCCTTTAATCCCAGCTCTTGAGAGACAGAGACAAGTGGATCTCTATGAGTTCCAGGGCCAGCCTGGTCTACATAGCAAGTTCCAGGACAATCAGGGCTACTGAGACTGCCCTTTTAAGACCCTGGAATTTAATCACATTTTGTCTTAGTCACTTGTTCCATTGCTGTGAAGAGACACCATGACCATAGAAACTTATATAGGAAAGCATTTAGGTGGGTGCTGGCTTACAGTTTCAGAGGTTAGTCCATTATCATCATGGTGGGGAGCATGGAGGCATGCAGGCAGGTATTAAAGCAGTAGCTGAGAGTTACAACCAGGTCCATAGACAGAAAGACTGACAGACACTGGGCCTGGTGTGGGCTTTTGAAACCACAAAACCTTCCGACAGTGACACAGTTCTTCCAAAAGGCCACACCTCCCCTGAGGCTTCTGGCTGGGCAGCGGCGGCACACACCTTTCGTCCCAGCACTTGGGAAGCCTTAGTTTGTGTTTTTAACATTCTACCTAAGAAATAATGCTAAATGCTAAACCTCTCTTTAGGAAAAAGAAAAGCTGATGGAAGGAAATGCAAATGTGTCTTTAAGGCTTTATTTTTCATAATTAAATATATATGAAATAATAACTTATTTCTAATTTTTAAAATTATATTTATTGTGTGTGTTTGTGCATGATAGGCTGTGGCACACCTATGCCATAGTATGTTCGATGGTGTTAGAGTACAGTTTTGTGGAGTCACTTCTTCATGGTTTCCAGGGATTAAACACAGGTTATCAGTCTTTAATAGCTATTTTTAAAGATGTTATGTAGTGCCGGGCGGTGGTGATGCACACCTTTTTTTTTTATTTTCAACACAGGGTTTCTCTGTATAGCTTTGTGCCTTTCCTGGAACTCACTCTGTAGCCCAGGTTGGCCTCGAACTCACAGAGATCCACCTGCCTCTACCTCCTGAGTGTTGGAATTAAAGGCATGTGCCACCACCGCCTGGCCTGGTGATGCACACCTTTAATCCCAGTACTTGGGAGGCAGACGAAGTTGAATCTCTGTGAGTTCAAGGCCAGCCTGGTCTACAGAGCAAATTTCAGGACAACCAAGGCTACACAGAGAAACCCTGTCTCCCCCTCTCCCTCCAGATTGTTATTTACTGTGTGGCAGCCACAACAGATGTGGTGGGAGTGAGGGAGGAATGAGGAGGATGGAATAGCAAACAGGAAGTGCTTTTGAATGGTTATGTAAAGTGCGGTGGGTTCAGTCAGTGGACATCTGTCTCCATGTCAGGAAGGAAGGCTCCAAGGAGTGGCCATCAGGACTTCCACAGAGCAGTGTATGCTGAGGCATGGCTTATCCTATGATGACTGCAGGGGCAGTAAGGATTTAATGATACTCGGGGTAGCTTGCATGGTCGGGGGTGGGGGTGGGGGGCAGGATGCAATGGGACCAGAAAGACAGGTAAGCAATGTCAGGTCATAAGGGGCTCAGAAGAACTGAGGAGTCTGCCTCTTGTCTTAAGGACACCCAAAGCCAGTCGGAGATAAAGCCAGCTTGCAAAATAAGCTAGGGACATACAGCGAGTGGACGGAGAGATTGAGGCCTGGGTTAAGACAGCAGTGACCAGATGTAGTTTTTGAGCTAAGTGGTACAAAGGAATGAGTTTGATGGGATAGAGGCGTAGAATAAAGAAGAAAGATAGGCCAAGGTTTACCAACCGGGTTCTTGTGCTTTTACACTGTGAAGGATTGTGTTAACTAAGGAGGTGAACATGTAGGAGGGTGGACTGCCTCCGTAGTAGGAGTGAGGGTCGGAGGGTCTGGCCTGTGCTGAAGCAGCTGCAGGGAAGGAAGGCTGGTTGGTTGTTTCCCTTTCTGTATCCCCTGTCCTGACGAAGTGCCCAGTACTGTCTGCACTGATGTGTGTGTAGCGGTGGCCAGTAAAGCTGATATGTATTGGGTGTGGTTTTCTCTTTTCACTACAACATGATGATGGTATTTATTACTCCTGTAAAGTGCAAATGACTACAAGATAATTGGATATTGTTATTTAAAAAATAAACCTGGAGAAGAGGGAGAGCCGCACTCATCCTGGAGTCCTAGTCGGTAAAGATGATTTTGTCAACGCTGTTGTATAACACACTGTGTAAGCCGAGTTACATGTGTTATAAGTCAGATTTTCTAGACGCTAGAAATACATGTTAGATTGGTTGTGTATAAATGAAACCTATGACCCAAATTGTAGCTGATGTGCTTTTCCAAACCCTTGAGGTGAGAATTTTTTTGTTGGACATCTTGGCTGTAATGCCTGTGAGTTGGGGGTCCTTGAAGTCAGCATAGCTGTAGAGGACATGAACACCGAGAGTCAGTGCTCTGGCTTTCATTTGTAGGTTTTACATCTGAGCATCAGTAGCTCTGCTGCATATGGTCTTTTCCTTCTGGACACAGTGGTGCATTCTGTATCTTAGTTCTTCATTTGAAGGCACATTGCTCTGAACATTTTTATAACATTTAAACTCATTGTAGAACAAACTGTTTGTCTCACTAAGTTGCTGAGCCAGCAAATTTCTGTAGGTTATTCCTGCCTCTTATTGTGGTGTAAGTTCCATGATTCTGAAACAGTGCTTCTGATTCTCAAAAATGTGTTCCTATTTGTAGAAACTAATTGGAGAAGCATGGTCGAGACTTCAGATGGCTTAGAAACATCAGAGAACGAGAAAGAGCTTCCCTGTAAGCACGGCCCTTCTGAGAAGCCCAGTAAACTTGCACTCGACACAACCCTTGTGAGTAAGCAGCCGCCGCTGGCTGCGGGCAGCACTACCTCAGCGCCAAGCCAGGGGAAAGCCGTAGGTGACAAGGATGACCTGAAGCCAGATGACCTGGAGTGGGCCTCCCAGCAGAGCACAGAGACGGGCTCCTTGGATGGCAGTTGCCGAGATCTTTTGAATTCCTCCATCACCAGCACCACCAGCACGCTTGTACCTGGTATGCTTGAAGAAGAGGATGATGAAGAAGAGGAAGAGGAGGAAGATTATACTCATGAACCCATATCAGTCGAAGTGCAACTCAACAGTAGAATTGAGTCCTGGGTCTCGGAGACCCAGAGGACTATGGAAACGCTTCAGCTCGGCAAGGCCCTGCCTGGCTCCGAGGAAGACAACGCAGAGCAAAGCGGAGAGGAATCGGCAGAAGCACTTGAGGGGCTGGAATCGGGGGTGGACAGTGAGACCTGGACCCCTGACCAGCAGCCGAAACCCAGCAACTCTGTGAACAAAGAGCACTCTGACTCCAGTTCTGCTCCCCCAAATCTATAACTCAGGAAGTGTCAGCTGTCTCCAGCTGTGTCTGGCTGCAGCCCTGTATCTGACGCTCCATCTCAACATTTTCCACTGTCCAGTTATTTACTGTGTTTTTAATTCCCAACAGACCTTTTGTAGCTCCTGCCTATTTTGTTACAATCTCTAGCTTCGCTTTTAACTAGTGTCCAAGTCTATTTCTAAGAATTGTGTAGAAAATTCAGACTTCTTTCAACTTACTTTGTACTGAAAAATAATGATTAAAGAAAGAAGACCAAATTCTAAAGAAAAAAATAAACAACTAATGGCTAGTTAAGATGATTTTACAAACTGAAGATTGAGATTATAAGGACCAGTGTTTGATTGCAGACTCCATCTCCTTCAGGATAATTTGTCTGTTGGAGTGGTGTAAGCAGCTTTTGAAAAGTGCTGGAGGGGACTAAAAGTCGAGGGCAGCAAGGCTGCCCAGTGTGCGTATTCAAAAATGGATGCAGGTTTTGCTTGGTCCGCAATGTTTATTTCAGAAGCCACTGGCCATTGTAACCCACAAAAGTCGGGATGGGCTGAAACAGCCTGCAGGAGTTAGGTGAGCTCTGGAGCGTTACCGTGCTGGCCTCGTTGTGGAGAGGGATGGATGTTTGTAAGAGCAGTCACCATGGTGCGACTTGCCAGGTTCTATCTAACATTTGCCTCTTACCTCAGGAATGCTCTTGTACATAGTATGTAAAGTTAGGCAGACGATGACAGGTGACTAGTGTACAGGTTTGTATTACCATAGCACTTCCCGTGGACACCGGAAGCAAGGCTATCCTGCTGTGTTCTACTGCTTGCTTTTGCTTTAGGACCCTCTTGTTTTGAGGCATGGATCTGTTTGCATATTCAAACAAATCCACATTGTAAGTCATTTCATCTTTTAAAATGCACCTTCTTCATGGCAAGAAGCACAGTTCCAGGAAGTCAGGAAAGTCCTTTTGCACAGTTTGTGACATGTTCAGGTAAGGCTTGGAAGAAGCTGTAGAAGAAAAGAGAAGGTTATTCTAATTGTGCAGATCCTTCAGATGATTTATCATATGCAAGCATATGCAGAAATTAATTTTATTCATGGTTATTTATCTCTACCCTTCTCGACTGTGTGTGTGTGTTTGGAAGAATCTTAACTTAATGAGCTGTTCCGTTTGCTGTCCAGCTGTCACCAGGATTCTGCTGTCTGCAAGTTTCTATAAGGAGGTGGAAGAATCATACATCACCGTCTTTTGTCTTCATCTCCTCTCCTTTCCCCCAGCTACCAGTACACAGATAGACACATGAGCTTTCTCCCTACGAGCTCCCAGAAGCAGGCACCAGCCACGAGTACTCATCCCTGGTCATGCCATGCAGGACTTTGCCTCTCGGAGACAGGAGACAAGTTAGAGAAAGTCTTTGCTGAAATAATTGGGACCTACTGTGGAGCTCTGAGGTTTTATAATGCTGGAGAGATGAGATCCTTGGCTAATGGCATAGTATTTGCAAATTGTGAAAGTTTAGGAGCATTGCTTTATTTAAAATAAATGTCAGTCAACTTGATTAGTGTGCTAAAGGGGACAGTAGTATACCGTCCAGTCTAAACTGTTGTCCAGTGTAGACTCTAGGCACTAATCATCTGATACTTCAGTTAGACGTAAGGAATGAAGCTGACAGTGTGATTTTCATGGGCCGATTCTTACTGTCTGCATATTTGAAAGCCTTAACTTGTTTAAAGAGATGATAGAGGTTTTGAACGACTGGCAATCTTGAAAGTGGATTTGAAAACTTTTCCTACTTTTCATGATGTTATTTTCCTGTTGATGTCAGTAGTTCAGATCGCTCTTGATCTTGAGGTAGTGGCTTTTCAAAGATTTCTTGTATATTTTATTCTCTTCTGGACGTGGATCATCATTTTAGAGTTTGGACACTTGTACCAAAAGAGAAGTTGAGGAAATCTTGGAAACGCCAGCAACTTACTTTTGCTGTAGTTGTTAGAAGTGCAGTGAGTGCCCTCTCAGAGGCAGTGGCTTTCCTGCCACAAATCTAAGGGACCACAGACTTTATACAGGAAACTGGTCACTTCTAGAGGACAGCCCAAAATTTATCAAAGGAAGTTCTACCATGCTGAATAACCTTAAATACGCATCCGCAATGTCTTTATAATCTGTTTCCTTTGGGTAAATTTGGGGCTGTTGGTGTATATTGAATTCCAGGCTTTAGAGGAGGTATGAGAAATAGGAAAGTCTTATTTTTGGAAGTAGGTGTCATTCACTCTTTGAGACTTAGAAGTAAATCTAATGGTAAGAATACGAGTTTATCGGCACAAGAATTAAAAACTGATTTTTTCCTTAGTGTGTAGATGTAGTTTTACTGGCAATAATTAGTAGTAGACTTCTATCAGTACATGAACTACAGTATAAATTACGCTCCCCTAGTTTGACTCCCTCTTTGGTAGGCTTGCTTGTTGTGAAGATCACTCCTCAAAGGCAGATGTTCATAATAGCTTAATTGGTTTTAATCTTTGTAAATGATGTAATATAATTTCTTTTGACTAAACATGGAAAAATAACATGTGTTATACATTGAAAAGTTTTTACAGGCTTTGACTGGAATCATTTTTGAAGAGACGGTATTTTATATGCTTCCAGTATTTGGAAAAGAATTAGTCAAAAGGAATTCAAATAATTTAAATATTGACAAATTAATATCCAAATAACATACTTGTGTGATTTTTTTAATAACCAGGGGAAAGTGGGGGTGGGTGGGAATTACAATGTGCAAATAAAGAGTGACCTTTGCATTCATTTTCGACTCTTAACACAAAACTGCTAAATCGTAACACATTGTTACTCTTAATACATGTATAAAGTATTACTGTTTGTAAAGCTGCTGTTTGCTTAAGAAATTATCATGTAAGTATTTTCTGTACATTGTGCCAACAGATTAGAACATTAATTTAATTTGCTGAAAGCTTATCCTTTTATTTAATTTTTTTCTGTGGAATATTTTATTTGCAAACATCTTTCCTTCTCCCTTCTCCCTTTCGGCCTTTGTACACATCATAGATTCTGCAGAATCTAAACCCGACCCCTGTTTAATGATAACATTTAAACTTGGTTGGCACATCACACCTTAAAAGTATTTGGGTTTTTTTGTAATTTAATTTCTAAATATACCACCTGAATTTATAATTTAATGTCTTAATTGTAATGCTCTAATAAAAACTAGCAAAATTAGTGGATTATACCAAAAGAGGATTTCTGTGTTCTTTTTCTGTGTGAAGGATAAACATTGTCTCACATTCTGAGGTTAATAACAGCCTTTTTGCACTTTGTAAGTACTAGTGGGGTCTTCTCTGCTAATAAAGTGGTTATTGAAATGCATTCTGATGTCACCCCAGCTCCTTGATCCCCCCTGTGCATGATGACTAAGGATTTGCCTGCCTTGTCGCTTACATTCACACATCTTTGCCAGGATTCTCGTGGAGCAATATCAATCTCTGTGGAGGGGTCCACATGATTTGTGGCACCCACCTGTCTTCTGAGCAGACTGTCCTGGTGACAGACTCCTATAGATCCCTCTTTTCCCTCCATGTGACCCTCAGGGCTCACAGCAGCCATCATGTTGGTGCTGTGGCTGCTCTGTCCTTTCCAGGCAATGCAGTGGTGGAGAAACGAAGAACTAGCCAAGACCCCACAGCCAGTAAGTGGCAGATCTGGAATTCAAACTCTAGCCATGACTTTACTGTTGTGGAATAATCATTTTGTACACTGTGAAGATGTGTCTTTGCCAAGGCGCCTTCTGAATGGCTTAATGAAGAGCTGAATAGCCAATAGCTAGGCAGGAAGAGGTCAGGCAGGACCTCTGGACTGAGAGAAGAGATGATTCTAGGTGCGAGAGAGACAACAGAGGAGAAGGAGAGGAAGCAGGACATGCAGGAGGAGAGGTAAAAGCCATGACCCATGTGACAGCATGTAGCTTGAATTTCTAAATGATCTTATTAAATAAAAAACACGGAGCCAAATATAGGAGTGAAAGCCTTAAATCAGGGAAATAGTGAGAGCCACCAGCCAACCTTAGCTCACCAGCTCTGCAGCTTCCAAAATCCAAGCTACTTCCTGTTTTACCTGCGCCTTTATTGCCTTGCTGTTCTGCCTTCTCATTGGCTGTCTTAGTCCAGCTACCTCACTTCCTTGAAACTGCCTGTCTGTACAGACCTCCAGGTCTCTATGGTTGGTACTAGGATTAAAGGCATGTGTCACCACGCTTGACTCTGTTCCCTAGTGTGGCCACACAGAGACCCTGCCTGATAAGTGATCGGATTAAGGCATGTGCTACCACTGCTCGACTTGTGTTTACTTAAAATGGCTTGCTATTGCCGGGCGGTGGTGGCGCACGCCTTTAATCCCAGCACTCGGGAGGCAGAGCCAGGCGGATCTCTGTGAGTTCGAGGCCAGCCTGGTCTCCAAAGCGAGTTCCAGGAAAGGCGCAAAGCTACACAGAGAAACCCTGTCTCGAAAAAAACCAAAAAAAAAAAAATGGCTTGCTATTTCCTCTAATCTCTAGGCAAACTTTATTTATTAATATACAAATAAAATATCACCACAGTAGATTAATAGAAATGGGGTAATTTAAGCTATAAGAGCTAGCTAGAAACAAGCCTAAGCTAAGGTCGAGCTTTCATAATTAATAAGTCTGCATCATGATTTGGGGGCTGGCGGTCCAAAAAAGTCTGTTCCAATCTACTGTGTCTTAGAGTGCCCAGGTATGCACAGTGCTTCTGGGGCAGTATGGACCTTGAGCAGTGGACTCTGCCGCACTTGCAGATGTCTGTCCCATGAAAACATTGAGAAGATGTAGAAACTTGTCACTTGGTTTTTCTTCAAATTGACCAGAAGAGGGTGTGCATAGCTCCTGAAGACAGTTGAAAGCTGCCCTGAAGTACTATTTTTCTGATGAAAAGGCAAAGGGAGTTGTCTTAGGGTTTTTTTTATTACTGTGAAGAGACACCGTGACCACAGCAACTCTTATAAAGAAAACATTTAGTTGGGGTTGGCTTACAGTTTCAGAGGTTTGGTCCATTATCATCGAGGCGGCCATAGTGGTGTGCAGGCAGATACGGTGCTGGAGAAGGAGCTGAGAGTTCTACATCTTAATCCACAGGTAGCAGAAGCAGTTACGTCACATGAAGCCTAGCCTGAGCATATAAGACCTCAAAGCCCGCCTCCATTGTAGCACGAATCTTAAAAGGTCTTATTAATAAAACAAATCCGGAACCAGGTATTGGGGTGGACACTGGAAGATCAGCGAAGCAGAACAAGCCACAGCCACCTCACCTTGCCACTTCCTCAGCTGATCCTGTTTCCTCAGACTGGAAGCCTCTGTGTCCTCATCTGGAATGAATGTCAGCTGAACTGCTGCTAAAAGCCTAAAAGCTTAACCAGCTCTAGTTCCTGGTTTTCATGCCTTTTATACCTTTCTGCTTCCTGCCATCACTTCCTGGGATTAAAGGCGTGTGTCACCATGTCTGGCTGTTTCCAGTGTGGCTTTGAACTCACAGAGATCTGGATGGATCTCTGCCTTTGGAATGCTAGGATTAAAGGTGTGTGTGCCACCATTTTCTGGCCTCTGTATCTAGTGGCTGTTCTGTTTTCTGACCCCCAGATAAGTTTATTAGTGTTCACAATATATTGGGGAACACAATATCACCACACTCCATAGTGACACACTTCCTCTAACAAGGCCACACCTCCTAGTAGTGCCATTTCCTATGGCCAAGCATTCACAAGTGATCCTATGGAGGCCATACATTTCAAACCACCACAGAAGTATATTAAACAACAGGTCTTCTGCCATGTACTTAGTTCCTACTTTGGCGTGCTATAACTTGGAAACCATGTCCACAGGTGTTTTATTTCAAGAAGGCATTTGGACCATCTTTTGAGTAATGCCCTGTGAGGTATCTAAACCAGAGCAGTTTCAGATCACCCAAGAAAGCAAATACCTCCACAAAGCAAGTCACATGACACATTTGGTTTCTCTGTGTGTTTACACTATGCTGTAGTTTATTGGCTATGTGATAGAATTCTGTCTAAACAATGCATGTGACAATTCCAGAATACTTTATTACTAAAAAAACACCTCCAATGAGCTGTAAGTGGAAAAATGAAACCTTGATGCTGGTGGCTGGTGACAGATCAGTGTTGGTTCTGGTGTGGGGTGCCTATGGCAGTTGTTTACACAGGGCAGTGAAGCCACTGCCTCCTTCGGCTCTCCTTTCACAAAGGTTTCTTTAGCATGTCATGCTGTTGTTTTTGTGGAGTCTGGGATTACTCTCATGAGTGCTAAGCTAGCTCAGCCCCGAGCCACGGCATGATTATATGGCATTTTCGTGGAAAACATGGCAAGTTGGAGTGAATTCTTCTGCTGCTGCTTCTTCAACTGATTCTGAATGTGCCATTTTGTTACCATGGCAGCAGGACTTAGAGCTGCTCTGCCAGGTATCTACTCCCTCTCAGGAAACCACTGCTTTTGCCCGTGTGTAAGAAGTAATTCATTACTGAAGCTTTGTGTGAGAGAGCAGTTCACCCATCTCACTCCAGGGCTGGTTCTGGTTCTGGTTCTTTTGCTATTGCTGCCACATCCACAGTTAACTCTCTGCTGAAGTCTGGAGCCCTTCAACATCACCCACAAGAGCTGGAGTCGAGGCTGACACTTAAAGCCTTCTCCCAGGAGTCCCACTTCTGTATGTGGTGCTGGGGATTGGACCCAAATTCCTGCACACACTAGGCAAATACTCTGTCTGTGAGGCACACCCCCAGCCCATGACTTCCTGATAACATCTGGAATGGTCATTCCCAGAAGGTTTTTAAATTATTTCACCCAGATCCATCAGAGGAATCACTGTCTATGGTGGCTATAGCCTTTCCAAAGATGTATTAGCTTTCTGTTGCTATAATAAGATATTTATGTATAAAGTAAAGAGGGGTTTTGTGTTTGTCACCCTAGTTTAGTCTGTCTTGAGATGTCTCACTAAGTTGCCTCTCCTTCCTACACAGCGACTTTCCAGATCTGGGCTGCCACATCCAGCCAGTTTGCCACAGCTTCTATCCCAGGTGCTATTTCACCTTGATCTTTCTTGTTACAGAGGCAGCAGCCTTCCTGAATGCCCATGAGCAAACATCTGCACACTTCCTAAGTCGCACAGCTTCATAGAGTTGAGGAAAGTGAAGAGCCTTTCTCTGGCTTGGGCTTTCTCTTACAGGAATGCTGGAGCTAATTGGATTTTTTCTGTCCAGACTACTAAACTTCTGTCAGCCATCTGTGCTCCGCTGTCCTTTGTGCGTGCACTGGACTGGTACTTCAGGTTTCCCTCAGGAGCCTTCCCTTCGAGTTCACTGCTTGGCCAGCTGGTACCAGAAGCCTAGCTTCCAGGCTTCTTGGTCTTGGACATGCCTTCTTCTCCAAGCTTCATCATTTCTAGCTTTTGATTGAAAGCGAGAGATTTTCCTTTCAGGTCAACACTTACAAACCATTGTATGGTTACTAATTTCAATATTGTTCTATCTTGGAGAATAGAGAGGCCTGAGGAGATGGAGAAAGATATCAGCTGGCTGACGGAGCAGCCAGAACACTTATAGTATTTACTGATGTGCAGTTCTCTGTCTTACACAGGCATGGGTCATGGGCACCCCAAAACAGTTACATAACACAGCACCATCAAATGTCACAGAGCCCAGATCACCAGGACAAATGTAATGATAATGAACACATTTGAAACACTGGCAGGATTACTGCAACGAAGAGGCTGAGAGCTGAGGTAAGTTGCATATTGCCAACAGATGTGCTCAGCTGAGGGTCAGCGCAAACCTCCAAACTGTGTATAGCAGTGTTCATGAAGGGCAATATGATGAGAAACGGGTGCAGTGGCTTAAACCGCTGTCTCTACATCGTCTCTCACCTGAAATCCTTCCCCTATGACTGACTTACACGCCCTCTGTTAATTTAACTTCTTACCAGCTTTTTAATGGCTATTAGATATTATCATTTTAAGGCAGTGGGCCACTTTTCCCCTTGTGTCTCTTGACATTTGCCCATGAGTTACTTGCTGTCAGGGAAGTCAGTGTGCAGGTGTAGAACATCTGGAGTCGTGGCTTTGCTGTTTTTCAGATAGTGGGCCTTGATGAAATCGCTGGACTGTTAGAGAATGTGGAAAGATGGCCTGCTGTAGGGTTACAAAATTGATGCCCTTTTGGGTGTGTGGGTGTGTGATGGCGGGGGATTCACATTGCTCATCACAGCTTCTCATTCTGCTGCAAGCTACTGGGGTGACTTAGGGAGTTAAGCCAAGAGCACTTCGCCTCTGTTGGCCTTAAGTGTCAAC